GGCATCACCAGATGGCCGGCCCTGTGCACAACGCCTCGTGAGCAGTTTGCCCCACAGAAAGATGCCTTCCTCTGAACACACCCTTTCTTCCCCTGTGCAGTTGCCCTTTCTAGCGGTAGCCTCACCTGCTGGTTGAGCACCATATGCACACCATGAGGTCGAATGTCAGCTGCTGCTTCTCCTAGAAAACTCAGAATGTCTTCAATGGTGGCTGTGTAAGGCAGGCCTCGAAGGCGTACACAGTCCCTCCCAGTCCCTCCTGCCAGTGGAAAGGGAATCGGCAGCAGCGGAGCAGTCAGTGTGGGAAGGAGTGAACTGGCTGCGTAGCGGTTCAGGACCTAGTAAGAAAGGCGTCGGGTTTATCACACTGTGGGGGCCCAGCCCACCCTGAAGCAGCGGCACACTGGGACGTGGGAGCTGTGAGTGCTCACCTGCTGTACCTCAGCTGCAGTGCTCCTGAAGAGTTCAATGTATCGCTTACCCAGCATGCCTTTGTGCCTGCGCAGAGCAGCCTGCGCCTGTTCCTCACAGGCAAAGAGAGCAAAGGCATCTCCAGTTGGCCTGCCATCAGGGTGGCGTACAAAGAGCAGCCCATCAGCTCCCCCAGTCACTGGGCATTCTGGCCCCAGGAAGTCTAGAACATCTGTTGGCCCAGCTGAAAATGGGAGTCCCCGCAGCCTCAGGATCACTTGATCTTCCCGTGACAGGAAACGAGCCACCTCTAGTGATGTACCTAGGTTGGAAGAACAGGAGTTGCTTGCTGATTTAATCATTGTAACATGCACCCAGATGGGAAACGGGATATAGATGAAGACACAACAGACCTAGGGCCTTCTATGGACACACTCACCCCCTGCGATCTTCACAAATTCCTCCCCTGTGGCTTTATATACCTGGGAAAACAGAAAGCAGCCCATGGGTCTCCGTCCTTACTCAGGTTTGCCCTGTTCCACTTCTAGCCCAAAGCCCCACCTCAATATAGCGGACACCCATGTGGTGCTTGTGTCTCTGCAGCGCTAGGTCCCGCTGCTCGCTGTCCTCAAATCGGATGAGGGCCTCGCCATTTCTGCGGCCCTGGGCGTTGAGACAGAGTGCTACACCACCCCTGTGGAGCCAGTGTTGTTAGTGCCTCCTGGGTAGACTTGCCCTCTTACCCCTCCCATCCTGCCACACCCACCTGGCAATGTTGAGCCCTTTGAAGAATCGAGCCACATCCTGGTCTGATGACTGCCAGGGCAGCCCACGGGCCCGAACTACAGTCTCATTGTCCACCACATCAGCCTTGCTGCTGTGGGGGCAGGGCACAGGATCAGTGCTGTCCAGATGCTGTCACCCCCACCCCTGCTCCCACACTCACCAAGGCCCCGTTTCATATTTCTGCTTTACCACCTCTGGCTTGGAAAACAACTGACCTGAGAGGAGATGGCATGGGGTCAGCAGGGTCTGGGGGAGGAAGTCTCCCCACCAAGCTCTACAGAAATAGGACAGGTGAGGGAATTGAGGAGGTGATAGAGGGGCTTCCACCTTGTGTTCTCTTAGAGAAGGTCACAAGTCTGCAAAAGGACTGAGGAATAGGCATTCACCCAACCCTGACACTAGGTGACAGGCTGTGCAAAAAGCTTACCCTTGGGCCCTTCAAGTAGGTGGAGAATAACAGCTACCATAGTCTTCACTTCCCAGACCCCAAAGTCATCTTCTGTTGCATCTGTTTCTAGTCCCAAGTCTACAGGCAGAGAAATGACAGCTGAATCCAGGTCCATACACCCCACGTTACCCCCAACCATCCACAGACTCCTAGCAAACACATGCAGCTAGTCCTCAGACCAAACACAGACGTGCCCACATTCCAAATGTATCCCAGTGTAGATGCAGACATGAGTACCCTAAAGGACAGGGCCAAATCCAGACTTGCCTACATTAATATAACCCATACAGCAGCGTGCACATGCTTGGGCAGATTAGCTACCCCTCCACCTTAATTCTGCTGGGTCACAGGTACCCTGTGCCATGGTGCCCACTGTGAGGTCCCTGGCGGGGAAGGCGCTTGGGTGCTGCATATGGAACTCTCGGCGGAGGTCGTAGAAGGAGAAGAAGGCGTCCGGGAGCACCAGGTTCTGGGAACACGTGGGAGTAGGATGAGAAGGTGCTCTGAAGTGTCCATCCCCACAACAAGGATCTTGCAAACCCAACCCCCCCTGTGCCCTCAATGCCATACCTTCCTGGAGGCCTCAGGATGCAGAACCTGTCGCAACAGCTGCTGCCCATCAGTGCAGAGCACATAGGGGCCCCCGCCCAGCAGAGCCACATCCCTGCTCACCAGCTGTGAGAACTGGGGACAGGGAGTGGAGACTCAGACATAGATTCACAGCTAGGCAGGCTGAAACTGGGGGTAGGAGGAGGGAGGGACTCAGGCTGCAAAGCTGGTTCGGCAGGATGTTCAGCCCTACCCTGTCTGGTAAGTAGAAGGCCTTGCTCCATATCCCAGGCTCCTAATCCCCACCCCTGCCCTAGTCCACTGTCACCTCCTCTAGGCCAAATGAGAACAGTCACGCATAACCCAAGCCCCCATCAAACACACTTCAGGAGTCTGGAGGAGGGCCAGAGCAAACACCTGGTGGAGTGAGGCAAGCAGGTGGAAAGGGGCGGGGCAAAGCAGGTTAAACCTGTCCTGGACCAGGCACCACCCTCAGACAGGTGGGGGGGAAGGCTCACACCTGCCTGAGGGCCAAAAGGCTCATGGTCAATGGCGGCCCCGCCCCTTGGTCTGACCAACCCAGGAACGGAGAAACACCAAGGACAGAGCTTCATACTTGGACACTAGCGGCAGCCTGAGCTTTGACCCACGCCCTATCGACCAACTGGCACTGAACTGTTTGCTCATAGAGGGGGTGGCACTCTGATGGCTGCCCAGCACGCTCCTGCATTTCCCCTGCCAATTCTTTGTCACTTTTCAGCCTAAGGCTGGACAGAGCAAGGCACCCAGATTTCCTACAGCACCCTCCCAGGTGAGCAATAGGTTAGGCCTGGAGTCCTTCTGTACTATGTTCAGATTCAGCATCTTTGTTTCCTCATTAAGAACCAGAGTTGGGAGGAAATCTACGCTTCTAAAGGACTGACACTCATTATAGCTCCACCAAAGGGTGAGGGCAGCAGAGCAGACAGGGAAAATACCAGTGAGACTGACTCCCACTTGACCTGAATTTTTTTGGGGGGATGGAGGCATGCCCCTAGGCTTTTGCGCTCAGCAGGCAGGTAGCCCCCAGGTAGAGTAAGGACAGCACCCACGCCTGACCAGTCTGCAGGGACAGGCCTAAACCAGCAGCCCTCACCTAGCCGCGTCTGCCCCTGAGGCAGACACCGCCCGACGCCCCCGTTCCGGCCTCTCCCAAAAGGGCAGGCAGCAGGGACCTGTGATCTAGGGCCAAATTGAGTCCCTTGACCCCTATTTCTGAGTCGTCTGGACCTCGTTCCTCTGCTAGCAGGAGAGAGGACAGAGGAAGGGACCTCGGGGAAGGATCCCTCAGCCGCTATTGTCATCCCCTCAACAGGCGTAAAGGTTGGAAAGTAAGGTCCCTCTGGGAACGGCCTAGCACGCGCTCACACGGTAGTCGCTCAAAAGTTTCAAACAAGACCCTGTCCTAATGTCCGTGGGTCACGGCGCCCGACTATGTCTCCTGCCTCCCCCACCCCCGGGAGAGGTAGCGTCTCTATCACCCCGATATTCCACCACCCACGCGGGCCCCCACGCTCACCTGCTGCAACACCTTGTCCAGGGACTCCGCCCGTGCGAGGCTGTCTGCGCTGAGGCCGCTCGCCTCGCGGCACTGTGGACTCAAGGCAGCCGCCTCAGCGCGAACTAGCGACTTGTGCAGCGTCCCCACCTAAGAGCAGCAAGGGTAGCCCGGTAAGCCGCTGTGCCTCACCGGCCTTGGAGAGCCCAGAGGAGGCCCGCCACCTTTTTCCACCCTACCTGTCGGCTGCGCGGCTCCACCACTTGCCAAACTAGGAGGATTAAGTCGGTCTCGTCCGAGCCTAGGTCTGGCCCCAGCGCACCAGCAGTGGCCCCGAACAAAACGACCAGCGACTGGGGCCCTGGGCAGGGGTCTGTGGCAGAGTCTACTGCGGGATCTGGGCCCGGGGGTGGGGGTGGGGGCGGTGGTGGAGTCATGGCCGCAGAGGAAGGGGGCGCTCGGCCACACACACACACACACGCGGACGGACGAGGTGCACGCATGCACCGACCGACGGCAGACAGACGAGCTTGGGCGGGATCCGGTGTGTTGGGGGCGGCACCTGCGGCCGGGCTCTCACAGTGGGAGCTGCAGGGACCCGCCCGCGGTGCCCTTTGGGGCTGGGCGGCGCAGCTGCAGGTCCCAGCCTACTCTGGCGAGTTACCTGCGGCCCCGAGTGCCACGTGATCGGAGCGGCCCCGGGAACCTCGTGGGAGGGCCAGAACCCTGCCCGAGAGGCGAGAGCTCACTTTATCCTTGGCGTGCGCTCGGAGGCTGAAGTCCCACGTCTCGGTGAGGTCCTGCAGGACTCCTGGGACGAACCCGTTCTTTCTCCTGCTTCTTCTCCAGCAGGCAATGAGTCCTCCGCAAAAGAATGCGCAGGACCAGAGTCCTTTTCCATTCCGCCAAGATCACGTGGAAGCCACCAGGAGTCAATCCAGGGGCTGTAGGGGGTCACGACGTTCGGCTTGGGGGTTGATGGAAGTCACAAAGAGTCAAAAGCCGACGGCGCTACCACGTATCCACTGGAAGCCGGTGGGAGAGAGGTTGGGGAAAGGGAGGGTGGCAAAGATCAAGGGTTCTTAGGGCTGTGGGCGGCCACTAGAAATCACAGGGAAGGACGTGCCCAAACAGGTGTTAGAGTCCGCCTTGGACTGCGTCGGCAAAGCGCAGTCACTGTGGACGCGAGAGCTCAGGCCTTGATGCCAGAGAGGGAGCGCCTCTCCTCAAACCCGAGAGCGCAGAGGTTGAGCCAGATAAGTGCTCCAGGCCTGGAGATTCAGCCTACCTACCCCACGTGGGGGTTGCCTGTCTGTCCGATTTCGTCTTTCTTAGATGATAGGCGTGCGATCTGGAGATTGAAAGCACTCTGGCAGATACTGGATAGCGGTGAGCTGTGTACGAGCGCAGGCTACAAAGTCTGCACCCCAACCCAGTTCTGACTAGTCCCACTCACCCCACGGTGAGACTCTTATTATATTGCTTTCAGGCCGCCCTGGGCGCTCCGAATAAATAGTTTTCCCTCTACTCAGCTGTAACTAGTAATCTGGCGGGAGGAAAGAGCTACAGCCTGGCGTGGGACTTAAGCGATGCAGGATGCCAAAGCCAAGACTGAAGAACTTGGTGTGTTTGGAAAAAGCGGGGAGCTACATAAGATAAAAGGCAGCTCAGAACCCGGGAGCATCCCCAACTCATGCCGAAGGAAGGCGAGCGGAGCCAGGGGACCTAGAGTGCGGCTCCCGGGTTTCCCCGCACAGTAGCTCGGGAACACAAAGACCAGATACAGTGGAAGGCGGTTGGTGGGCTCACACTGCAATCCCTACCCCGGCGGCCCACCCCGAGCCAGCCCCTAAGCCCCGCCCCCGACGGTAAGCCTGGAATGTTAAATATTTGCTCTAGGAACCCGGAGAAACCGTGAGGTAAAGCCCCTCCCATTGCGGAGTGCGCCTGCGTTAGTTCAGACTTTCCGGTAGGACACTCCCGCCAGCCCGCACCCCTCGTCCTCGTTACTTAAAGGCCTGCAACGCTGCCGTCTCCGGTTCTGTGGGGCAGAGCCCCGGCCGGCGTCCCTACACGGCTATACCGGTGCCCTCTACCTACAACCTCCCACCTTTCATTCAACTTGTGGACCTCGCTTCCCGATTCTCCGGAAACTGGGATCCCTGGCTGTCCTGAGCCCACTGGAAAGAAGCGACAGTGCCCGGGTTCCCACTCGGTGCAACTCAGTACTGACAGACCGCGAGATCCCTTTCAACTCTGGTGCGCTCACCCGGCTATTCCTCGTAGTAAAACTATTCCAGACCTTTAATGTCGTTGGTTTTTGTGCTTGTGTGCAAGGTGCCTGCATGCCACAGCGCTTGTGTGGAGGTCAGGGGAATAGTATGAGTTGGCTCTCTCCTTCCACGAAATGAATGCTGGACGTAGAACTGAAGCAAGCCATCTTACCACCCCTGTTTTGTTTTTTTGAGACCGACTCTCGTGTGCCCATGTACAGTCTAAATAGCAGAGGATGACACTGTAAATCTGATTTTCCTGCCTTCGCTTTCTAAGTGCTTGGGAACCCAGCCAAAAGTGCCTCTGCACTCAAAAGGCAGAAGCCAAGGATGGCTGCAAAGACCCAAGTTAGCTAGCTTGGTCTACTTTGCAAGTCCCAGGTCAGAAATCAGTAAACAAAGCTAATAAGATTAGTAGCTTGAATGTGGGCTTGCAGTTACACACACACACACATACACACACACACAGGAGCTCCTTTCCAGGCCACCCTGCACTACATAAAACAGATAATTTTCAAAATCAGTTATTTAGTGGCACAGGCCTTTAATCCCAGCACTCCGGAGGCAGAGGAAGGCAGATCTCTGAGTCTGAGGCCAGTCTAGCCTATAGAATGAATTACAAGACAGCCAGGGCTACACAGAAAAACCCTGTCTCGAAAAACAGTTACTTATAGCCAATTGTGGTAGTGCATGCCTAAATCCCAGCAGAAACCGGTGGATCTCTGTGAGTTCAAGGCCAGCCTGGTCTAGGACAGCCAGAGCTACACAGAGAGACCCTGTCTTAAACGAATCAATGTTGGGTCACCCTATCATTTAATAAGCAACTTTGTACTCCTTACCGTCCATGAAGTCAATTTAGAACATTTTTTTTAAAGAATCTTGGGGCTGTAGAGATGGTCCAGGACCCGGGTTCAATTTCCAACATCCACGTGGCAGCTCATAACTGTTGACTCCAATTCCAAGGTACCCAGTGCCTTCAGACAGTCATAAATGCAGGGAAAACACTGTTGTAGCCTTTGGCTGGTCTGGACTCACTATGTAGACCAGGCTGGTGCCAGGCTCACAGAAATACACATGCCTCTCACTTCCCAGTGCCCCACTGCTTCCTTCCTTTTTTATTTTTATTTTATTTTTTGGTTTTTCGAGACAGGTTTTCTCTGTGGCTTTTGGAGGCTGTCCTGGAACTAGCTCTTGTAGACAAGGCTGGCCTGGAACTCACAGAGATCCGCCTGCCTCTGCCTCCCAAGTGCTGGGATTAAAGGCGTGCGCCACCACCGACTGGCTTCCTTTTTTTTTTTTAAATAGATAGTTTATTTTTGTTTTATGTGCATTGGTGTTTTGCCTGCATGTATGTCTGTAAGAGGGTGTCAGAAGAGGTGTGAGCTGCCATGTGGGTGCTTGGAATTGAACCTGGGTCCTCTGGAAGAGCTGCCAGTGCTCTTAAACACTGAGCCACCTCTCCACCTCTTTCTTTTTTATTTTATTTTTAGTGTGTGTGTGTGTGTGTTCTATGTGCATGCCTGGTGCTCACAGAGATCAGAAGGTGTCAGATTCCCTGGAACTGGAGTCACCCATGACTGTGAGACACTGGTGACTGCTGGGAATTGAATTAAGGGCTCTAAACCACTGAGCCGGCTCTCCTGTCCCTGCTTTTGCTGTCTGTACCAGCATTGGTAAGTTCCTGCACCGCGGGACCTTTTCATTGGTGCCTTTTCCTCGAAGCCCACCTCTGCTCTTCCTCGATACTTTTACCTCTCAGAGTACCTCCAACTGTAGTAGGGATCCCCTATACAGTCCGAGATTTCTGTACTAGTGAAGGTCCCAGCCACAGTAAACCCCCACCCCTCTGCTTGTGACTAGGGTGATTGATAATGAGTGAATGAATGAGAGATGGGTATGAATGAAAAGAGGTAGTAAGTAAACACTATCCCAAATTGCACTCTAGAGAGAAGAGAGCATGTTTCAACAGTGTGCACACAAGGCTCTGGGAAGAGATATAGTGTGTCCACTCACACACGGGGTAAGAGTGGGTGGGGAGTAAGTTGGAGGTGTTGGTGAAAGTTTATGCTAACTGGAGTGCTGAGAAAGCATCCTCTTCCCTCTCTCTCTTTTTTTTTTTTTTTTTGGTTTTTCGAGACAGGGTTTCTCTGTATTGTTTTGGAGGCTGTCCTGGAACTAGCTCTTGTAGACCAGGCTGGCCTCGAACTCACAGAGATCCACCTGCCTCTGCCTCCCAAGTGCTGGTATTAAAGGCGTGCGCCACCATCGCCTGGCTTCCCTCTCTGAGATAGCTCAGAGGTTAAGAGCACTAGCTGCTTGCTCTTCCAGAGGTTCTGAGTTCAATTCCCAGCAACCACATGGTGGCTCACAACCATCTCTAGTGGGATCTGATGTCCTCTTCTGGTATAAAAGATACACATAATACATATTTATTATGTATACATAATAAATAAATAACTCTTTAAAAATCCTGAGATAGAACAAGATTCAACTAGAAGATGCCAGGTGGTGGAGACACACTCCTTTAAACCCAGCACTCAGGAAGCAGAGGCAAGAGGATCTTTGTGAGTTCAGGATTGTCTACAGACCGAGTTCCAAGACAGGCTCCAAAGCTACAGAAAAACCCTATCTCGAAAAATAAAAACAAACAAATTAACAACAACAACAAAAAAAGATTCAACTAGAGGATCATTATTAGCCCTCGGCTAACCACAGGTCTCCTGGGTAACTAGAAAGTATCAGCCCATCCAAGTTTCTTATCTGTGTGTGTGTGTGTGGTTTTTTTTTTTTTTTTTTTTTTTTTTTTGGTTTTTCGAGACAGGGTTTCTCTGTGGCTTTGGAGGCTGTCCTGGAACTCACTCGGTAGACCAGGCTGGTCTCGAACTCACAGTAATCCGCCTGCCTCTGCCTCCCGAGTGCTGGGACTTATCTCTGTGTTGTTGCATAATCATTTAATACCACCAGAGGGCGAACTGACTTCGTGGCCTTAACCTATTTGAGAGACACCGGGTAGGCAGTGAGGGTAACAGAGAGGGAATGCCTTGATGCTGTCAGCCAAGCCTCTCCGTCGCCCCCTCCTGGAAACTTCAGAATCTACATATGACTCCTGAGGCAAGCAATCAATACTTATTCTCAGAAACTTGATCAACCATGAGGCATGACACAGGTTTTAATTTTAGACACAGTTTCATATTATTTTATTTTGGTGTATTGATATTTGCCTGAATGCATATCTGTGCACCATGTGTTTACCTGCTACCCACAGAGGTCATAAGAAGGCCTTGGGTCACCTATACCTGGAGTTACAGACATGTGGGTGCTGGGAATGAATCGGGTCCTCTACAAAAGCAGTCAGTGCTCTTTACCATCAGGGTTTTATTGTTGTTTTGTTGTTTTTTTTGTTTACTTGTTTTGTTTTTTTTTTCAAAACAGAGTTTCTCTGGGTAACAGCCCTGGCTGTCCTGGAACTCACTCTGTAGACCAGGCTGGCCTTGAATGACACAGAGATCCTCTGCCTCTGCCTCCTGTGTGCTGGGACTAACGGCGTGCGCCACCACTGCCAGGCACCAATGAGTTTTTAAACCTTTCTTTTGAGACCCTCAGCGTCTGCTCCACCTTGCTGTCTGGCCTCTCCACTGTAATTCTTTAGCTTTCTAGGCTGCTGGAGCACTAACCCACCCTTTGTTGTCTTGGAAAACTACTTCTCTTCAAGTTAAACAATCTTCCTTGATGCCTAGGCCAGATTGGCTGCTCTGTTCTAGGCCTTTGCCTTCTGTGTTCTGGGTTGAATGGCTAATTAAATTAGAGTTGTCCCCTCAGTGATCCAGGAAGGCTCTTGGAGCAGAGTCTAGAGTTTAGGGAAAAATGATTGGCATTCAAATGGACTCAACTACGACCACTAAATGGCTTTGATTTTTGTTTGGTACCCCAAGGCCCATCTTTGTCTCTATAGGGGAGCTAGAAGCATGGGTCTGTGTGAGGAAGTGGCTGGAAACTGTGGAGGCTATTGGTCGTGTTGTCACCCAGGAAACAGAGTAAAACTGGACTGGCATCGACTTCTGAGTTTATTCCCACTTGCAGCCTTTGCCCACAGGGTACTCTTCCCTTCTCGAATTGCTGGCTGACCTGCTTTAATTTTCGGTCTTCCTCCTCCTCTAAGCCAGACTGGAACTCAGAGCCTTTCTTGGAAGCTCTGAAGAAAGTAAATCACTGATATAATTAGCATGTTAAGCATCTGCGGTGTGCTAGAAGCAGGGCAGGCAATTTTGCAAAGACTATGGCTTAGTGGGATCCAGGCCACGGTGCTTCAAGGGCAGTGGTCATTTCTTGGCTGAAGCCTAAGTGAAGAGTTCAGCAGAGACCCCCTAAATGAGCAATGCAGGTTGTCGTCACTGCAGCAAGCTTGGAAGTCTCAGAGGACCCTTTTCTAGCCAGCAAGGAAGCCAGAGGCTGGAGACAAGAAGGCAAGAAGGGAAACAGTCTGACTGCCATTCAAGGTCTTCACTCACTCAGGGGTGAGTTAGAGAGACAGTGAGTGGTGGAACCCGACTTCATGGTTCATGGTGTACACCTGGCATTTGGAGAGCATCACACCAAAATAAGGGCATAAATTAGAAGAGTGAACCTATTTTGGTGGTATAGGTAGTTTGGCTTCATAAGAGTAAGCTGGCAGCCGGGTATTGGTGACACACGCCTTTAATCCCAGCACTCGGGAGGCAGAGGCAAAGTTTGGCAGTGTTTCCTTTTGCGATTAGCTTGTTCAAATTGAAAGGCATACTGTCAGTAGTTGAGGCAAGGGCAGTTTCTTTGCCCAGTGCCTAACCTTGCCATAAATGAAAGTAAACTCCATATGGAGACTTTTCCATGCCTGTCATCCTCTTTTGGAGTAAATTGGTGCTGCAAGAAACAGACATGTCTCACTGTCATAAAAAGACCTATGTTTTTTTTTTTTTTTTGGTTTTTCGAGACAGGGTTTCTCTGAAGACCTATCCTATGTTATTAAAACATTAAAATACTTTATTGTGTAGGCCTCTGAAGTGGTTGAAGACCATATATTTAAAATATGTCTCTGATTGATCTTGAAAATATACCTAATTTGACTATAAGCTTGACTGTTACAGATGACTATTTCTTTATTATCCTAAATAGATTTCAAGGACTAGAACTTTACACAACACTTTAAAATGAGCTGCATAAGTACAATATCTTAGACAAGAAATAAAAACATTATAATACAGTATAACAAAAATAACCTTAAGTTTGTATCAATATACAAAAATCCTTGCCAATGTAAAATATTTGGGATTAATAGGTCCTTTTCATTTTAAAGTGGATTCAATAATCTTCCTTTTTATCCTACCATTCCTACATCCCTCCTTTTTTTCAGAAAGTGATTCTTGAATATAATGTCCCCTGTTGCTTAGTTTCCTCCATGAGCATAACCAATAACAACCTGAAACCAACCCTTTAATGATAATAAATATCCATAACCACCATGCAGTGGTGGCGCACGCCTTTATTCCCAGCACTCGGGAGGCAGGGGCAGGTGGATCTCTTTGAGTTCAAGGCCAGCCTAGTCTACAGAGCAAGTACCAGGACAACCTCCAAAAGCTACAGAGAAATCTTGTCTTTAAAAAACAAAAGCAAAACAACAGCAACAAAAAATATAACCCACCTGCTGACCTAACCCATTCACCTCATCTCTTGGAAATGTGGACATTGTGTTCTTAAAATTACTTCTTGTTGTTTGGGGACAGCGGCATCTTTAGGGGATTCTGAGAAAATTAGATAATGTTCAGTCCTGGAAGAGGTAGGTGTTGTCTAGTCTTGGTGTGAGTGGAAAGCCGTAAGAGTTGTCTGAAGTTTTGTTTGGATAGTCATTGAGGCTGGACCATCTCAGTCAGCAGCCTTGAAGCTGTTCTGGATTTAGAACACTGAGGAAATTGTAACAGAGGCAATCTTTAGAGGCTAGATTACCTGAGCCAACCCTTTTTATTGGTGTCTGGTCTCCTTACTCTGAAAAGACACAAACTAACTGGGCATTAGTGGCACACGCCTTTAATCCCAGCACTCAGGAAGCAGAGGCAGGTGGGTCTCTGTGAGTTCAAGGCTACCCTGGTCTCCAGAGAGAGTTCCAGGAAAGCCTCCAAAGCAACACAGAGAAACCCTGTCTCAAGAAATAAATAAATAAAATAAAGTTAAAGCATTCCTAAAGTATCTAGGCTGATTTAATTCAGCAGTCCCTCTTACAATCCTATGTCTCTCAGCAGCTGTCATTCAGTCATCACCAACCAAAAAATTCAAAGTCGGGCTGGAGAGATGGCTCAGCGGTTAAGAGCACTGACTGTTCCTCCAGAGGTCCTGAGTTCAATTCCCAGCAACCACATGGTGGCTCATAACCACCAGAATGAGATCTGGTACCCTCTGCTGACACGCAAGCAGAAGACTGTACACATAATAAAAAAAATAAAAAAATATTTTAAAAAAAGTGTGCCACCACCGCCCAGCTAAAACAGGCATAAGGTTCTTAAAAAAAAAAAAAACGAAATCTTTCTGGGTGGTGGTGGTACACGCCTTTAAAAAAAAATTCAAAGTCGACTGGACTCTATATAGGATCCAGACTCTCTATGTATTTCCCATCTTTATGTGGCTTATCTTTTTATATTATTTTATTCTCTATTTAAATGTCTTCTTAGTTATAATATTTATTTTTCTATAACTTTCTATACCCATTTCCTTCCTTCATTTCCTTTCTTTCATTCAAGATTTACTTTATTTTGTACACAGTGCTCTGCCTGAATGTACGCCTGCAGGCCAGAAGAGGGCACCAGATTTCATTACAGATGGTTGTGAGCCACCATGTGGGTGCTGGGAATAGAACTCAAGATCTCTGGAAGAGCAGCCAGTGCTCCTAACCTCTGAGCTGCCGCCTCTCCAGCCCCCGTTTTTAAAATGCACTGTAACCTGTTTGGAGGTTTGGTTTTGTTTTTCCGATCTGTCTTTACCTGCAGTGTTCTCTGACCACCTGAGACAAACCTTAAAGTGTCATGTCAGCCTCCAAGCAGCTCCACTTAGCACATGGTGCTGGCTCGGGCACTGGCTACTGGCTCCATCCTGCAGGCAACAGCAGGGAGTGGCAGGAAGCACCACCTCTGTGTGCTGAGTCACTCTGCCTGGAAGGCTGCAACAGGCCCCATCTTTAGACACTCAAGCCTCACGCAGGGCACCATATGTAGACAAACTTTTCTTTGGGCCGCCAGCTCACAAAAAATGACATGGAGACTTTTTATTAGTTATGAAAGCTCTGTCTTATCTTAGAATTGTCCCACTCTGAAATCAACCCATTTATGTTACTCTACATTTTGTCCTGTGGCTTTTTATCTCTCTTCTATCTTGGACTTCCTGTTTCTTCTCTGTGCCCTCTGGCATCTCTCCTGCATGCCTAGATTCATGTCCTCTTCCCCTCTCTCTGTCCTGAAGTCCTGCCTAACCTTTCCCTGCCTAGCTATTGGCCATTCAGCTCTTTATTAAACAAATAATCTGAACACGCCTTGGCAAAGACATTATCTTCACAGTGTTCAACAAGATTATTCTACAACAACTTGAATGTCTTAGTTACTTTTCTACTTCTGTGAAGAAACACTATGGCCAAAAGAAACTTGGGGAGGAAGGGTTTGTTTGTCTTGTATAGATAATTTAAATCACAGCCCATTGAGAGAAGCGAAGGCAGGAACTTGGGAGGCAGGGGCTGATGCCGAGGGCATGGGGCTGGGGGGGCGGAGGGCGGGTGCTGCTCATGGCTTGCTCAGCCTGTTTTTTTTTTGTTTTTTTTTTTGTTTTTTTTCCAGACAGGGTTTCTCTGTGGCTTTGGAGGCTGTCCTGGAACTCGCTTGGTAGTCCAGGCTGGTCTCGAACTCATAGAGATCTGCCTGCCTCTGCCTCCTGAGTGCTGGGACAGCCTGGTTTTTTGTTTGTGGGGTTTTTTTTTTTTTTGGTGTGGGGGGTTCAAGACAGGGTTTCTCTGTGGCTTTGGAGGCTGTCCTGGAACTAGCTCTTGTAGACCAGGCTGACCTTGAACTCACAGAGATCCACCTGCCTCTGCCTCCCGAGTGCTGGGATTAAAAGCGTGGGCCACGAACACCCGGTTTACAGCCGGATCTTATAGAGGCAGTTTTTCACACGAGTTTCCTTCCTCTCAGATGCGCCAAGTTAATGTAATGCTAGCTAAGACACTGGGCTACTAGTGTCTTAAAAGTGGGGAGGGAAGCCGGGCGTTGGTGGCACACGCCTTTAATCCCAGCACTCGGGAGGCAGAGGCAGGCGGATCTCTGTGAGCTCGAGACCAGCCTGGACTACCAAGTGAGTTCCAGGACAGCCTCCAAAGCCACAGAGAAACCCTGTTTCGAAAAACCAAAAAAAAAAAAAAAAAAAAAGTGGGGAGGGGCCCATCTTCTGATGCGTGTATGAGTAAGGGTTGTTGCTATCAAGCTTGTGCCATCCTTTCCCCAGTAATCCTGACTCCCAAGCTTTTGGGTTGTGGGGGTGGAATACCAGTAAGCCACAGTTGACAACAGTGACACTCTTCCAGGGGCCTATGGTCATCTGAGACTGCTAGTTGGCTAGATGTATGTGCTAGTCAATATCCAAGGCCATTAAACCTTTTAGTGTCTCCCCTCCCCCTCGTGGCTGCGTGTCTCTGTGATCCTCTCCCAGGCGTTCACCAGATCAGTCTGTAGCAACATTCTGCTGGTGCCAGAGTTAAAGTGAGGCGAGCGGGGCCTAAAATGTCTTGTTTTCTGGGACTAGAGCAATGGCTCGGTAGTTATGAGTACTTGTTGCTGTTGCGGAGGACTGTGGTTTGATTGCCAACACCTATATGGTGCCTCACGGCCGCCTGTAATTCTATTCCAGGCAAACTCTATGTGATACCCTCTTCTTCAGGCACCAGGCATGCATACATACATACATATGTGGACAAAAATACTCATGCACATAAAATAAAACAGGTCTTAAAAAAAAACTTCCCGTTTTGCTATAAAAACTAAGAATGACCGACTTTAACACAAGCCAGCTGTTTACCAGGAAGAGGTGAAGGGTGGGTCAGAGATTTTGGGACTAAGCAGTGTCCCAAGGGTGCACGTGGCCTTCAGAAGGAAGTATATGGAGGTTCATTTCTCAAACGCACTGGCTAACTCTACCCCACAGAGCTGCCTCATTACCAGTGTTGAACCTCTGCCCAGTCGGCCTCGGCCCCAGCTCCTGGCTCAAGGCTTGCGTCCTTCTTGAGTCCACAGGATTTCATGAGGGGCTTAAGTGCCAACGCGAGCTCCTGAGCCCTTTCTTAGCAGAGAAAACTTACAAACAGATAGCTCAGAGTTTCGGATTAAACCACTTCCAGTTCTGCTTTATATGCAGTCTCCTACTTCAGAGACTAGAGTTACTCTTCGTTTGGAAAAAGATGATCTAGCTCCTTCCGGACCCGTTTCTTGGGTCCTACCTGCATTTCTATCTGGAAGGCAGAATGTAGAAGTTCTCTGGGCATGGGCGGCCAAAACTAGATGCCCCTAGGGATGCCAGGGTGAAGGTTGTACAAAGGTCCTGGTCAGCTGCTGGTCACCTGAGTTTCAACAACGAACGAACTACTTAGGACTCACTTCCTCTTTCCTTGCTTTTAGAGAGGCTGCACAGTCACAGTAAATGATGGACCTCTTTCGGCTCGACCTGCTTTCGGTCCTTTGCGTGTGGGAGGGCTAGGAATCGGGAATGAGGACTACCTGACTGTGCTGGGTACTCGGTGAGGTGGGGCTGCCTAGCGGCGGGATGGCAACTGGGAGCCAGGCGGCGCCCAGCAGTCGATCGATGCATTCGACGCGCAGCACAGTCTAGCCGCAAGCCCAGGGGTGGGCAAGGACGGGGTGGTGAGTTTGAGTGGGAGGGACGCTCGTGGCGGAGAATTCCAATTGGTAGAGCCGTAGCAAGAGGCGGGTCTTAATTGGCTGGTGGCTGGGAGCGGTGGGGTTAAGCTCGACGCTGCGGTCCCGGCCTAGGCGCGATCCCTTATCAGTAGGGCAGTCCATTGGACCTGCTGCCAGTCTCACGCCATGGATCGCCATCACCTCGCTTGTCGCGCGACGCAGCTGCGGAGCGGTCTCTTGGTCCCACTGCTTCTGCTCATGATGCTGGCAGACCTGGCACTCTCGGTCCAACGTCACCCCCCGGTAGTGCTTGGTGAGACTGGCGTGCGGCGGGACGGTGGGAGGGTACTGCAGGATCCATTGCAGCTAGTGGGCCGACTTCCCCGTTTGTGCTCCTGCTTTAAGCACGATACCCAGAGCGTTTTGGTCTCTTAACCTGGGTCTGGTCGGTTAGCCCGCCTCCCTCCATACTGGGCATGGGTGTGGTCAGCCACCCTCTAAAACATGAGAGCCAGAGGAAAAGATACTGTCCGATTTTCCTATCTACATCAGCTCCAAACCTGGGCCTTAGCATGCCCCCATTTCTTAGCTGGAAAGACTGAGGCAGTTCAATCCTACTTCAGAGACTAGAGTTGATCTGAGTCTGCCTAGAAGGCATCGCTCTACTGTATTTCATAGGGCATGGCTGGTAGCAAGTTCTGTCTTTGCTGGTCACCAAGATTATTGAGAGCATTCACCTTGCTCTCAACTTATGAAATGCATGGCATTAACTTTCGGGGAGAAGGCCGAAGGGAGGCAGTGTAGCTAAGGGAAGGCAAGACAAGAAAGGGCTAGGTCCACAGCCATGAACAGGTGTTGGCGAGTCAGAGAGCATGCTCTATTCTCTCCCCTACAAGACCTCGTTACTCCAGGCTGTGTGGAGGCCAGGAGACATTCCCGGCCTATTACTCTTAGGTCCTACACCTGGCAGCTGAACAAGAATCAAAAGTGCATTTTTGTTTTTTTTTTTTTTTTGTTTTTTGTTTTTTTTTGTTTTTTGTTTTTGGTTTTTCGAGACAGGCTTTCTCTGTATTGTTTTGGAGGCTGTCCTGGAACTCTCTGTAGATCAGGCTGGCCTTGAACTCACAGAGATCCGCCTGCCTCTGCCTCCCCAGTGCTGGGATTAAAGGCGTGGGCCACCAACGCCGGCCAAAAGTGTTTTCTTATGCTAATAGGTCAGGATAAAATCTTTGGGATTCTTAGACTGGAGTTGGCTCTCTAGTGTTTCAGTGGCCAGCCAGGGCTCCTGAGCACAGAGACTCGCTGAAGCGCTCCTTGTGCCAGAGCACGCGTTCCTGGTTCCTGTGCTCTTTCTGCTGGGATTTTTTTTTTAATCTTTTCAAGACAGGGTTTCTCATGTTCTGGAACTCACTCTGTAGACCAGGCTGGCCTCAGACTCACGGAGACCTGCTTCCCAAGTGCTGATATTAAAAGCATGTGTCACCACTCCTGACTGCTGAAAATATTTCAATAGGGAAATTGCAGATCATAGAAGAATAGTGTCGACTGACAAAAATGGTCCTGGGAAACTTCAATAGGCAACTTTAATCCTAGCACTCGGGAGGCAGAGGCAGGCGGATCTTGAGTTTGAGGCTGGCCTGGTTAACAATGCAAGTTTCAGGACACTAGTGCTATACAGAGACACCTGGTCTCAAAAAACAAAACAACAAAAAAAAGGCATTCTAGGTCAGGAAATGGTCTGGGGGATTCTGGACCTAGTGCTCTTTAAGATTTGTACACCCTTGGTCCTGCCTTTCCCAACTTCCATGATGGCTCTTGGGGATGAGGTCTGGGATGGCTAAGCACAGAGAATCAGTCTGGGTGAGTGGGTGCCAGGGAAGCCCTCCTGGAGTGTGCTGGAACTAAGGTTGCTTGGAAGATGGTTCCAGACTGGTTGGAATGGTTGGGGGGGCGGGGCTGGAGGCACATATGGTGTAGAGCTTGTGACTTATTGGGTCATCTGGATTTTACCCTGGGAACCCGTGTAAAGAAGCCACGAGTGAGCCTAAGGAGTTCTAAGAATGGGGACCTTGGTTTTGGGATGTCTGTATTCTCTGACCACATGAAAGTTTGCCACTTCTTTTTTTTTTTTTTTTTTGAGGCAGAGTTCCACTCTGTAGCCCTGTCCTCTCTTTGTAGATTGTGTGTTCTGCCTGCCTCTGCCTCCCTAATACTGGGATTGTTGCCACGTATTTTTACCTGATGAATTGGTGCTAACTGCACTTGTTAATCCATCCAGTCTTTGGTTATCCTAAGTCACAGCAGAGAAGCCTCAGACTCCACCGGGATCTGAACATCTGCACCCCGAGCCTGCCCATCTTTTCAGGGATTGGGGCTGTTGCTGGTAACTCAGAGACCCAGAGAGAGCCATTCCTGATCCTAGGCACTAAGTGTGGGTCCTGAGTTAGTGGTAGAAAATTGGGTAGTTAGAAAATTGACCCAGGGGCAGGGGATGGGACCTTAAGCAAACCACTTGTACCCCTATGAGCTTCAGTCTTCTCATCTGTTAAATGAATAGAGAGAGGCCCCACAGGAAGGCTCAGAGGGCAGAGGGGATTGCCATGAAGCCTGAAGACCAAGTTCCACGCCCAGATGAAACCAGTTTTGGCAAGTTGTCCTCCAGCCTTCACACACATGCTGTGGTGTGCTCGAATATTACATCTGTATATACATACACACTAAATAAGTTAATGTGATTTTAAAACTTATATGAAGATGACCCTTCCCAGTGTTAGCTGAAGTAAAAGTTTAAAACTTATATGAAGATGACCCTTCCCAGTGTTAGCTGAAGTAAAAGTTTAAAACTTATATGAAGATGACCCTTCCCAGTGTTAGCTGAAGTAAAAGTTTTGCGTGTGGCTCTTGTCCTTGTTTCAGACACCAAGTATCTCAGGAAGGGGCCATTGCTATTTTTAGAAGCCACATAGCCTGACCAGGGCAAGGGGTATGTGGTGGGTTCCTCTTTCACTCATTTCCCCTTTGGTGGATGGAGACAGTGACCAGTCCACATCCCCAGCTCAGCTTGTCATGTAGAGGCTCCCATGCAGGAAGTTTCCTGCTTCTGCACCTACGTCATGAAGGGAGGGGAAGGCACGAGTCTCACCTGCTTCCCACAACACTCTGACTCTGGGATGACACTCAGGCAAGGCCACGTGCTGTGCTGGGCTCAAAGTCGCTGGTGAGGAAAGCCAAGTGGCTCTAACTAGTGACTGTGGGTCTTAAAAGGAGTTGTCTCTTTGAAGTGTCCAGAGTGTAGCCTGTAGCAGGAACATGTGGCTTGTTACATTAATGGGAATAAATAGATTACGGGGCTTTAAATAAATACTTCGAATTTAAAGGGATGTGTATGGGTTTGGTGTTACCAGGGCCCTAGTGTCTGTGTGGATCAAAGAGATTGACAATGGTGGTATCCACTCATGCTTGGAACTTGGTCCCACACCCTGGCCTGTGGCATGTTATTGCAGATTAGTCATCTGCAGCATACCTCTCAGCCATGCTGAAGCCTTCCACAAATCTATCCTCTGGAACTTGCCTGTCTTTAGCGAGGCCTAGGGGCCTTGGTGGATCTGCTGGTACCATTGTAAGCATCTGTTATTTGTGTTTTTATCATGGCCTCCCTCCCACAGGCCTGTAATTCCAGCATGTGGGAGGTGGAGTCAGGAAAAGTACGCTTTTGATGTCAGCAAGAAGATGTTGAAAAACAAAACACAGGAATACTGCCTCCAGATTTAGTTTTTGGCTTAGCACTCTGTCTTAGCACTCTGCTTGGGGGTAGATAAGACCCTGCTAGCTCTTTGCAGCCTGGTTTAAGCCTGGAGGTACCATTCCTCATATCAGGACTGTATCACTGGCCAAATTTTGGAGGTTCTGGAAAACTTCCATAAGCCTCATAGCCCCTCCTAGTCAGAGCATGTTCTGGGTCCGTTAACCTTGGAATCCATCTGTATATGTTGGGGCAATCCAGGCTGAGGTCTCAGGGGGAACCACAGCCTCTAAGGAAAGTGACTGGCTTGAAGCTCTTTCTGAATGGCCTACAAGTAAGTTTCAGTGAAGACTCAGGGAGGTTATTTTTATTCCACATCCTTGGAGAGAGTCCTGCTGGCCTCCCCAAAAGCATACCAGGCCTCTCTTTAAGCCTCCACAGGGTATCTGTTGGCAGGCTTCTTTCCCATTAATGTGGCTCTTGTTTCTGTTTGTTTTGAAACACGATCTCATTATGTAGCCCAAATTGGGCTACCACTCACTTGATTCTCCTGCCTCAGCCTCCTAAGTACTAGAATTTATCAGATATTCACCACCATGCCTGGCTAGTAACAACGTTTCTACATGAAGGTGGTGTCCTGGCTTCTGTCACGTTTCCCTGTTTTTGATTTTTTTTTTCCAGCCCTGGGATTGAGCTTCAACTTCCGAAGTGGGATTGCAAAGATGTGCCGTGGTGTTCATGACTCCGAGTGGCTCTTTTGCAGACTCAAAGGTTCTTGGGGGTCTCCAGCTTGCCAGGGCTTGGGCCCATGCATGTCTTTTTCTTCTGCAGTGCCTGGTGATTTGGGTAACCAGCTAGAAGCAAAGCTGGACAAGCCAAAGGTTGTGCACTATCTTTGCTCCAAGAGGACGGACAGCTACTTCACACTCTGGCTGAACCTGGAGCTGCTTCTGCCTGTTATCATCGATTGCTGGATTGACAATATCAGGTAGGGGCTAGTGCGCACGGATGGGAGCCACTACGGGGCCTAGAGAGGCCTTCAGAGTCCTTGTCCTCACTCCTCAACAGATGGAAAAGTACCCCTCTTCTGGGCTCTGTGGCCTCTGAACTGGTCTGGTCAGCACTAGCTCTACACCCGGAGGCATGGTTTTCTCCTCCTTGCTGCCCCTGGTCCTCCCTTCTCCAGTTTAGCTATCAAGCGCTAGACTCAGGTTTCTTTCTTTTTTTTTTTTTGGTTTTTCGAGACAGGGTTTCTCTGTGGCTTTGGAGGCTGTCCTGGAACTCACTTGGTAGTCCAGGCTGGTCTCGAACTCACAGCCTGCCTCTGCCTCCCGAGTGCTGGGATTAAAGGTGTGCGTCACCAACACCCGGCTTAGACTCAGGTTTCTTTAGCTAGCTCCTATCCGTAGACTCAGTGTGGCTCCCTCCTTCCTTTGCCCGAGTCTTGACTGCACCTGCCTCTCTAGCTGCTTGTTCTCCCTGCCATAATTCTGCATCTTTTCACATTATAATCTTCACATAGAGGGATTCTGATTTAGTAGCCTTCACTGATAAATCCCCTCCCATTCACCCTTTAGAACATAGCTTTTGAGTTGGCTCAGTGACTAAGAGCACTGGCTGCAGTGATCCTCAATCTTCCTAATGCTGCAACCCTTTAATAAAGTTTCCCATGTTGTGGTGACCACCCAACCATAAAATTATTTCATTGCTACTTTGTAACTGTAATTTTTTTTTCTGAGACAGGGTTTCTCTGTATTGTTTTCTCTGTATTGCTCTGTAGACCAGGCTGACCCACTCACAGAGATTCGCCTGCCTTTACCTCCTGAGTGCTGGGATTAAAGGTGTGCACCACCAATGCCCGGCATGGTGATTTTTTTTTAAATCTTTTTGCTATGTTTTGTTTTCTTTGTTTTTCCAGACAGTGTTAACAGCCCTGACTGTCCTGGAACTCTCTCTGTAGAGCAGGCTGGCCTCAAACTCAGAGATCCGCCTGCCTCTGCCTATCCAGTGCTGGGATTAAAGGCATGCACCACGAATGCCCCGATACAATGTATCTCTTAAAAAGTTATTTTTAGATTTATTTTATGTGTATGGTTGTTTTACCTGCATGTGTATATATGCATGGCATGCGTGCCTGCAGAAGTCAGAGGAAGGCATCAATCTATTGGAATTGAAGTTACAGAGGTTTATGAGCTACCTTGCTGGTGCTGGGAGTTGAACCTGGGCCTTCTTCAAGGAGCCATTTCCCCTAGTTCCTTTTTCTTTCTTTAAAATTTTTTCTTTATTATGTTTATGTGTGTTTTGCTACATGTATATCTGTGCACCATGTATGTAGCGCCCACAGAAACCAGAAGAGGGTGCCAGATCACCTAGGACTGGAGTTAACTATACATTGTATCTTTTTTTTTTTTAAGATTTATTTATTTATTACATATACAGTGTTCTGCCTACATGCCAGAAGAGGACACCAGATTGAATTGTAGATGGTTGTGAGCCACCATGTGGTTGCTGGGAATTGAACTCAGGACCCCTGGAAGAGCAGTCAGTGCTCTTAACCTCTGAGCCATCTCTCCAGCCCCCCATTGTATCTTTTGTGTTTTGTTTTGTTTTTTCCAAACAGGGTTTCTCTGTGTAGCTTTTGGAGCCTTCCTGGTGCTTACTCTGTAGACCATGCTGCCTCTACCCCTAATTCACAGATCTGTCCGCCTCTGCCTCCCAAGTGCTTGGATTAAAGGCGTGTTCTACCACACCTGGCTAAAATGTGCAGCCCAGGCTAGCTTTGAACTTATTTTTATTTTTTAAGATTTATTTTGCTGGGCAGTGGGAGACAGAGGCAGGCGAATCTTTGTGAGTTCGAGACCAGCCTGGTCTACAAGAGCTAGTTCTTTTTTTTTTTAAAGATTTGTTTATTTATTATGTATACAGTGTTCTGCAGATCAGAAGAGGGCACCAGGTCTCGTTACAGATGGTTGTGAGCCACCATGTGGTTGCTGGGAATTGAACTCAGGACCTCTGGAAGAGCAGCGAGTGCTCTTAACCTCTGAGCCATCTCTCCAACCCACAAGAGCTAGTTCTAGGACAGCCTCCAAAGCCACAAAGAAACCCTGTCTCGAAGAAAAAAAATTTATTTTTATTTTGTGTGTATGGATGGTTTGCCTCAGTACTCATGCTAGCATCTGTAGAGGCCAGGTCTTGGATCTCCTGGGACTATAGTTATTGATTATAATGATCTGTTGTTTCTGGAAATCAAACCTGGGTTCTCTGGAAGAGCAGCCAGTGCTCTTAACTGATGAATGTCCCCTCCTTTATTTTTCATTTGCTTTTTTAGAAAGTCACATTTATTCAGTTAAGGGTAGGTGCACCTGTTATAGCATGAGTGTATAGTTCAGGGAGCAGTCTGAGAGCTTAGTTCTCTCTCTACCACACTGGTCCCAGTGATGGAACTCAGGTCTTCTGTCCGGTGAGCAAGTACCTTATCTACTGAGCCAACTTGCTGGACCCATTTTCCTTTTCTTGCTCCTTTTTGTTTGTTTGTTTTTGAGACAGGGTTTCTCTGTGTAGCCTTGGCTGTCCTTGAACTCACTCTCCCACTCTCCAACCCCAAACTTGGGCTGCCTCTGAGTCAGACCCTTCAAAAACAAACTGCACATGCGTGTTGTGCCACACCCACACACAAATGAACAAATACATGCATATGATAAACACTAAAACTTAAAGCTTTTTTTTTTTTTTGAGATAGCCAGTTATGGTGCTACATGCCTTTAAGAGGTAGAGGCAGGTAGATCTCTGTGAGTTTGAGGCCAGCCTGGTCTAGAGAGTGAGTTCCAAGGTGGTCAGAGCTACATAGAGAATCCCTGTTGTAAGCGTTTCGGGATGGGTCGGGACAGGATGAAACAGGAGTGGGTCAGGTATTCTGGCACTCGGGAGTCACAGAATACTGAGTGTTACACAGCTCAGGTGGAAAGGTATCCTGGAGCTCAGGAGCCAAGGACCACCACAGGTTGCAGTAAGTTTGGCAGCTTACAGCCTTGCCTCAGAGAAAGGCTTCTCCGGTGTATCAGCTCCGCTCTGGCAGGACAGGGTCTTCCAGCTGGGGATGTGCGCCTAGTGTAGCAGTTTTGCTTGGCAGGAGGTTTCTCTGGCGAAGTTGCTACAGTTCAGCTCTGCTCCTGGAGAGCAGAGAGCGGGGAGCAGAGTGTAACAACTCCGCTCTGCGAAGGAAGGTTTCCCGGGCAAGTGTTACAGCCCTGCTCGCTCTGCCCTGCTCTGCCCTGCTCAGCCCTGCCCTGCCCAGCCCTGCCCAGGGTCGCCTCTGCCCTGCCCTGCCCTGCCCTGCCCAGGGTGGCCTCTGCTCTGCCCTGCCCTGCCTAGCCCTGCCCAGGGTGGCCTCTGCTCTGCCCTGCCCTACCCAGGGTCGCCTCTGCCCTGCCCTGCCCTGCCCTACCCAGGGTCACCTCTGCTCTGCCCAGCCCAGCCCTGCCCTGCCCTGCCCTACCCAGGGTCGCATCTGCTCTGCCCTGCCCAGCCCTGCCCAGCCCTGCCCAGGGTGGCCTCTGCTCTGCCCTGCCCTGCCCTACCCAGGGTCGCCTCTGCCCTGCCCTGCCCTGCCCTACCCAGGGTGGCCTCTGCTCTGCCCTGCCCTACCCAGGGTCGCCTCTGCCCTGCCCTGCCCTGCCCTACCCAGGGTCACCTCTGCTCTGCCCAGCCCAGCCCTGCCCTGCCCTGCCCTACCCAGGGTCGCATCTGCTCTGCCCTGCCCAGCCCTGCCCAGCCCTGCCCAGGGTGGCCTCTGCCCTGCCCAGCCCTGCCCAGGGTGGCCTCTGCTCTGCCCTGCCCTGCTCTACCCAGGGTGGCCTCTGCCCTGCCCTGCCCTGCCCTGCCCTGCCCTACCCTACCCTACCCTACCCAGGGTCACCTCAGCTCTGCCCTGCCCTGCCCAGCCCTGCCCAGGGTGGCCTCTGCTCTGCCCTGCCCTGCCCTGCCCTGCCCAGGGTGGCCTCTGCTCTGTCGCCGCTGCAAAAGAAGATCTTCACCCAAAGCTCATCCGAAGGGGTTTTTTGGAAGGCAGCTGGACCAGCCAAGCTGAACATACACAGGGTTTATATAGGGATTCTTGGGGTTGGGGAAGTTTTTCCAGAGTAAGGATTGGTCCGATTTCAGTGCTGAGCTCAGATTGGCTAGAGCTCTGCTCTGGGATTGGTTACTTTTTTACACAGGATTAGGGTCAGATTTGGCTCTGGTTTCAGGGCCAAAGTGTGTTTCTTTCTCTGGTCCTTTTTAGCCTTTTGGCTCCAATTTTAGGGCCAGGGTGCATTTCTTTCACTGACTCTGATTCCAGGAACAAAGTGTGTTCCTTTGGCACTGGTTTCAGGGTCAGGGTGCATTTCTTTGGTTCTGGTTGCAGGGCCAAAGTGTGTTTCTTTGGCTCTGCTCAGGGTGTGTTTCTTTGACTGGTCCCTTTTCCCTACACCTGTCTCAAAAATTTTTTTAGCTGAATCTCTATAAATTACTAGGCCAGCCTTGATCTTTTTTTTTTTTTTTTTTTTTTCAAGACAGGGTTTCTCTGTATTGTTTTGGAGGCTGTCCTGGAACTTGCTCGGTAGACCGGGCTGGCCTCGAACTCACAGAGATTCACCTGCCTCTGCCTCCCGAGTGTTGGGATTAAAGGCGTGCGCCACCAACGCCCGGCTCCAGCCTTGATCTTTTAGTCCTTCTTTATCAGCCTCTGGAACAGGAGTGATTACAGACCCATTCCAGCCATAATAATATTTTGTCAAGGGCAGATTAGTCAGACTTTGTGACACATACCTGGGATTCCAGTGTTTTGGAGACAGAAGATCACTCAGTTCAAGGCTAGCCTGGTATACAGAGCAAATTCCTAGGGCTGTATCATGAGACACTGTCTAAAAACAAAGGAAGACTACAACAGAAAAGGAAAGAGAGTAGGAGAGAACAGTTTTATGTGAGGTGGAGGTGCTTCTTTCAGTACGGGGAAGGACGGGACACAGCCCTTGCCTAGCATGTGTGAAGGACTGGATACAGCCCTTGCCTAGCATGTGTGAAGGACTGGATACAGCCCTTGCCTAGCATGTGTGAAGGACTGGATACAGCCCTTGCCTAGCATGTGTGAAGGACTGGACATAGCCCTTGCTTAGCATGTGTGAAGGACTGGACACAGCCCTTGCTTAGCATGTGTGAAGGACGGGACACAGCCCTTGCCTAGCATGTGTGAAGGACTGGACACAGCCCTTGCCTAGCATGTGTGAAGGACTGGACACAGCCCTTGCCTAGCATGTGTAAAGGCCCAGCTTGGGCCTGAGAGACCCTGGCTGCTACTTAGCACCTACGTTGGGTGGCTCACAACTGCTTATAACTTCAGCTCCAAGGGATCTGGTGCTGGATTCCATAGAAACCTGAACCACGTCATATAATGTATACTTACATTAACATACAGACATTGCACATAGATCTTAAAAAGGACAGGGAGATTTGATCTTTAGCTTTCCTCTCCCCCAAGAAAGGTAATGGAGCTGAAAGCTTCTTATGGCCTTATGCTATGTAATCCAACCTTTGTGGCAAATTTACTCAGGTGCTGTCAACCCAATGAATTACGATACCTTTGGGGTCTGACTATCCAGTCCTGTCTAGCTTGGAACTCACTATGTAGATCAGGCTGGATCACGGAGATCCATTCATCCTTGTCTGTCCATGGAGTGCGGGGGTTGAAGGCATGCACCTCCATACCTCCATGCTGGGTATATTATGATACTTGATGCTAATAATAAGTAATTTATTTATTTATTTAACTTTTGGTTTTTTGAGACAGGATTTCCCTGCTACATAGGATTTTACTGTGTAGACCTGGCTGGCCTGGAACTAAAGGCATGTGCTTACAACACCTGACTTTATTTATTTATTTATTTATTTATTTATTTATTTATTGTTTTTTTTTCGAGACAGGGTTTCTCTGTGGCTTTGGAGGCTGTCCTGGAACTAGCTCTTGTAGACCAGGCTGGCCTGGAACTCACAGAGATCCGCCTGCCTCTGCCTCCCAAGTGCTGGGATTAAAGGCGTGCACCACCAACACCCGGCTTTTCTTCCTTTTTATTTAAGTTAGAAACAAGCTTGCTTCACATGTCAATCTCAGCCCTCCCCCCCCCCAATCCAATCTCCACTCTGATCCCCAGGGAGGGTGAGACCTTCCGTGGTGGAACTCCAGAGTCTGTCATTTAATCCAGGGCAGGGCCTAGGCCCTCCCCCAAGAGTCCAGATTGAGAGAGCATCCCTCATTGTGGGATGGGCAGCCAAGGTCCATTTGTATGCCAGGGATAAATACTACCCAAGGCCCCATAGATTACCTAGGCCTCCTCACTGACACCCACATTCAGGGGGTCTGGATCAGTCCCAACACCTGACTTTATAATTTTTATTTTTAGTTTTTAATTTTATTGGGGGTGGTGAGAGAGGGTTTCTCTGTGTAGCCCTGGCTATCTTGGACTCCCTTTGTAGACCAGATGGCCTTGAACTCACAGAGATCTGCCAACTCTGTATCCTGAGTGCTGGGATTAAAGGCATGTACCACTGCCAGGCCAATTTTAATATATCACTTTTTTTTTTTGGTTTTATGAGACAGGGTTTCTCTGTATTGTTTTGAAGGCTGTCGGCCCAGCCCGAATGTATCACATTTTAATTGTTTTGGAATGCTACAGAAACAACAGGAAAAGCCACAAAATCCCCATTACCTGAGGTTGCTTATAACCCATTCAGGTTAAGGAAGGTGGATTTTGAGTTAGAGGCTAACCTGGGCTAACAAGACCCTGTCTCAAAACTAAAACAAAACACAAAGTTTACTGTGTTTACTGCATATTGTACCAGAAGTGTTGTAATTTTAAAAAGTGGTGCTCTAGAGAAAGACACTATGTGACAGAGCTTGGGTGGAGGGGTTTTTTATTTAAAGAAAGTGAATGGAAAAGTGAGGGAGAGAAGAAGAGAGACCAGTCTCTGGGGACAGGAGAGGCAGAAGAGAGGGAGAGAGAGAGAGAGAGAGAGAGAGAGAGAGAGAGAGAGAGAGAGAGAGAGAGAGAGAGAGAGAGAGAGAGAGAGAGAGAGACAAGCAGAGAGAGAGGAAGATGGGAGGTGGGCGGGGCCCTTTTAAAAGGGAACGAATGTGCACAGGTGGTTCTCTTAGCGGCTGCAGCTGAGGGCGTATCCTGTCAGGCCAGTACAGATGCCTGAATACTAACAAGAAGTTCTCTCTCTCTCTCCTCTCTCCCTTAAAGAGACAAAAGAAAACAAAAAGGTGGTGGTGCAAGCCTTTAATCCCAAATACTCAGGAGGTGAAAGCAGGTGGAACTCTTGAGTTCAAGGCCAGTCTGGTGTACACAGAGTTCCAGGCCAGGGCTGCAGCCAGGGCTACAAAGTAAGGTCCTGTCGAAACAATAACAAAGACCAACAAAACATCAACACAAAAGGGGTTGGTAAGATGGCCCAGTAGATTTGAACACTCCCCTCTCTTGCAGAGAACCTAAGTTCAAGTCCCAGAACCCACATGGTGACTCACAACCATCATAACTTCAGTTCCAAGGGGTCTGATGCCCTTTTTTGACCTCCGCAGGCCCCAGGTATGCATGTGGTGCTCTATGTTCACGCAGACAAAAAAGCCATACACATACAATTAAATAAAAAAAGGGTTGTGAGACAGGGTCCACTGTGTAGCTCAGGATGGGCTCAAATTCCCAGTGTAGCCCAGGCTGGAGCTGACAGTCCTGGCTCTGCCCCGTGAATGCTGGGATCACAGGTGTGTTTTGCCAGTCCAGTCTTCTCATGAATGTGTGTCTCTTGATTGTGTCAAGAACATATTTGAATGAATGACTTACACTATCTAGATTTGTACTAGAACACTCTTGAGGTCTGCACCATAATAAAATTGCCACCAAATGACAATTTTAATTTAATCTTGAGGCACTCCTTGGAACTGGTACTGTCTTTAAACCTGTTTTACAGGAGATGGGGGTGTAACTCAGTATATCATACATAAGGCTTTGAATTTGATCCCCAGAACCACAACAAAGCAAAACAAGGCAAATGTACTTTATAGATGAGGAAATCCCGAAGCTCAGAGAATTTATAAAATTGACTACAGCCATTTCATTCAGCTGACAAATCAGAAAGGTGACTCAAACTAAGGGCCCCTCCCAGACAGACGTCTCTAAAGGCAGATTATGATTCTGGTTTGTTTGTTTTTTTCCTGGATTTACTTTATTGTTTTATGTGTATGAGTGTTTTGCTTGCATATATGTAAGTGTGGTGTATGCTGGGTGCCTGTGAAAGTCAGAAGAGGGGACATCATATCCCCTAGGATTGGGAGTTACAGATGGCCATGAGTCCCATGTGGGTGCTGGGAATTGAACCTGGGTCCTCTGCAAGATCAACAGGTGCTCCACCTTCCAAGACAGGGTCTCTCAGTACCCCTGGCTGTCCTGGAACTCACTCTGTAGGCTGGCCTTGAAGTCAGAGATCTGCCTGCCTCTGCCTCCTAAGTGCTGGGATCAAAAGGTGTGCACCACCACTACCACACAGCCTGACCTGCAATGAATGTTCTTAATAAATCAAAGAACACAGCTGATGCCTGGTAAAAGTTTGCACTGATTAGATAGAACTTCATCAGTTAGGCTGGAGAGATGGCTCAGAGACAGAACACTGTATACATAATAAATAAGTCTTTTTAAAAAAATCTTCATCAATTAAAGGCTTTTCCCAGAGACCTGCTGGCTGATCCCCTGGACACCCAGGCTCTCCCTGTTGTCCAAGTTGCCCTCTTTGCTGACTTACTTTTCAGAGTGTGATTGCAGTTATTCCTGGGCTGTTGAGCTACATTTCTATTTTTGTCCTGGAGACACATGGCCTCAGGTACTGCCAACAGAGGAATAGGTTGATGCTGAAAAGAGCTTTTTTGTCTTTGTTGCTCCTCTGACCTGTTTAGATTTTCATCTTGCACAAAGCTGCCTTGGCTTTCTACAACAATTTTCTACACTTTTCAGGTTATTCACTGGAGAGAGTGGTCTCAGGCCCCACATTTGGATCAATGTTGGGATCCTGTCTTCCTTCCTTCCTTCCTTCTTTCCTTCCTTCCTTCCTTCCTTCCTTCCTTCCTTCCTTCCTTCCTTCCTTCCTTCCTTCCTTCCTTCCTTCCTTCCTTCCTTCCTAGTTTTATTTATTATGTTTGTAGTGTTCTACCTGCATATTTGCCTGTAGGCCAGAAGAGGACACCAGATCTCATTATAGATGGTTGTGAGCCACCATGTGGTTGCTGGGAATTGAACTCAGGACCTCTGGAAGAATAGCCAGTGCTCTTAACCTCTGAGCCATCTTTCCAGACCCTCCTGTCAGCTTTCTGTGACTGACTTTTTTTTTTAAAGCAATTAAAACTTTTTTGTTGTTATTGTTTGTTTTTGAGACATAATTTCTCAATGTAACAGTTCTGACTGTCCTGGAACTCACTTTTTTATACCAGGCTAGCCCTGAACTCACAGAGATCCGCCTGCCTCTGCCTCCCCAGTGCTGGGATTAAAGGTGTGTGCCGCCACTGTCCTGCTAGATCTGTGTTTTACAAGCCATTTTATAAATGTTTGTTGCATTTGTCATTGTTGTTGTTTGTTTTGTCTTTAGACACAGAGTTCTCTGTGTAGCTTTGGAGCCTGTCCTGGAACTCACTGGGTAGACCAGGCTGGCCAGGCTGGCCTCAGATTCACAGAGGCCTGCTTTGTTACTTTTCATCACCTTTGACCAAACCAGGGACTGAGACTGGAATATGGCTAAGGTTACAGGACAGTATTGAGACATACTAAGCTTAGTGGAACCTTTGAGTTACCAACTCATTATCTTCTCCTGGCAGGCTGGTTTACAACAGAACATCTCGGGCCACCCAGTTTCCTGATGGTGTGGATGTGCGTGTCCCTGGCTTTGGGGAAACATTTTCTCTGGAGTTCCTAGACCCCAGCAAAAGGACTGTGGGTATGTAGATTTTGTTGTTTTTTTGTTGTTGTTGTTTTGTTTTGTTTTGTTTTTTTTTTTTGAGACAGGGTTTCTCTGTATTGTTTTGGAGGCTGTCCTGGAACTCGATCTGTAGTGGTATACACCTCTTGATCAGGGTCTCTAGGGCATGTAGCTGGGGGGCTCTGGGCTCCCCTGGCTTCTAGAATGTGGGAAGTATCACATTGCTTTGAAAGGGTAGCCTATGAGCTGTCCTTGATTAGTTGACATAAATTCCTTTACCACTTCTTCAGGGAGACAGATGTCACTGTCTCTGTGGGTGTGGTGTGGGTGGCTAACACCGGTTATATTTTATATAACTCTATGCCATCATTTCTGTCTGTAGGTTCCTATTTCCACACTATGGTGGAGAGCCTTGTGGGCTGGGGCTATACACGGGGAGAAGACCTCCGAGGAGCTCCCTATGATTGGCGCCGAGCTCCAAGTAAGAAGTCCCCCTCCGCCCCCTCTCTCCCTGAGGGATCGGGAGGCAAGGATAAGGTAGTCTTGGCCACTAATAGGCCTTGGGTTCTCCCTACATCTGGGCCTCTGGTAACCAGTGCAGAGGCCACAGCCACCAGTTCTGAGTCTTGCCTTGTCCTTCATCCTAGGATGGTCCGAGGCTTGGTCAAGGATATGACTGAGGGGAAAATGAGCCTCTTGGTCCTCTCTTCATGAATCTTTGGGGGAACTAATCTGCTCCTACTTAGGCTCTAACATTCTCTGTACCCCCTAGTCCTGGGTCTGGCCTGTGGATTGGCCAGTGGTCCAGGTCCCAGGACACTTCCAGCCTGACCTCTGCTTGGCTCTGGCCTGCAGATGAAAATGGGGCCTACTTCTTGGCCCTCCGAGAGATGATCGAGGAGATGTACCAGATGTATGGGGGCCCCGTGGTGCTGGTCGCCCACAGCATGGGCAACATGTACACGCTCTACTTTCTGCAGCGGCAACCACAGGCCTGGAAGGACAAGTATATCCATGCCTTCATTTCACTGGGTGCGCCCTGGGGGGGCGTGGCCAAGACCCTGCGAGTCCTGGCCTCAGGTAAGACCTCCCTGGCCCCTCATGGATGCCTGTTCCCAGGAGTGCCTTTTATTTCCTTTGTTTTCTGTGGTCTTGTGCTATTCCAACATCCCTCATGTCTCCTCCCTGCACTAACATCCTTCTTTCTCCAGGGTGGCCTTCTATTCACTTTTGGGGGCCGGAGAGATGTCTCAGTGGCTAAAGGAGCTTGCTGTGCAAGCCCAACAACCTGAGTTCAATCCCCAGAACCAGTATAAAGGTGTAAGGAAAGAACCAACTCCACAAATTTGTCATCTAACTGAACATACAGGCATGACATATATGCTCACACCTATCATATACACACAATAATCAATTAAAAAGAAAACAAATATCTTTTTTTCTCCAAAGAAAATCTGATGCTGTGGCTGGTGAGGGGGCTCACCAGGTTAAGGCACTTGTTGCCAAGTCTGAGGACCCGAATTCAATCCCCGGAACCCACATGGTAAAGGAGAAAACCAACTCCCACGAGTTGTCCTCTGAACCCCACATGCACGCTACAGTACTCATGTGCACACACATGCACACACACCCTTTAAGAAAAAGCAATTGGGCCGGGCGTTGGTGGCACACGCCTTTAATCCTAGTACTCGGGAGGCAGAGGTAGGCGGATCTCTGTGAGTTCGAGGCCAGCCTGGTCTACAGAGCGAGTTCCAGGACAGCCTCCAAAGCCACAGAGAAACCCTGTCTCGAAAAACCAAAAAAAAAAAAAGGAAAGAAAAAGCAATTGTGGAGCAGCGGGTGAGCACCTCCAATCCTAGCACTTGGGAGGCAGAGGCAGGCGTACATATCTCTGTCAGTTCTAGGCCAGCTTGGTCTGTAGAGTGAGTTCCAGAACAGCCAGGGCCACACACAGAGAAACCCTGTCTCAGCCCCCTCCCCCAAAATCAATAAAAAGAAAATCTAATAGTACTCGCAGTTTTTCCTCTCTAGTTGATAGCCCTTGTAATCTATTATAATATTGTAGACGGAGTGGCCTAACTGTTGGTCACACAGTATTTGGTTATGCATGTGCACACAGGAACAAACAGTGCTGTGTACCTGGCTGGCAGAACCTGACTTGGCCCGCAGCTCTTTGGGGACCCTCCTCAAGTCTTTCTTACCCTGCCCCCATTTTCCTCAGCAGAGGAAGGCTGACTACCATTTCCTGTTTATGAGTTTCACAGGCCTCTGAGCAGGCGCTACAGGGAGGAAGCGGGTGTGGGTCTGGCTGGGTCCTCTTGCCTGGCAGTTGGGAAAGTCAACTCTCTTTTGGTCCTTCTCCAGTTTTTGTCACTGTAGGACCCATGCAGCCATGGGGTAGGACCTCCTGATGGAGGAAGAAGCTATCCTCCTTCCCACATGACTGAGTGGTGGCCCCGCCCCCTTGCTTGGGGACTGTGAAGCAGGGCCGTCTCAGGGATCTCTAGGCTTTCTTTCTGCCGTCACTGGTACTGCCTGACCTGCTGGCTCATCTGAAGGCTATGGTCAGGTCAGGTTCAGAGTTTCTCCCAGGAGTGATCCTGAATTGAGGGGACAATAAGCTCATGGCTTAGTGGCTTAGACACAGTGAGGACTCATCAGCCTATACTCTCTGCCATTCCTGGGCCTCCAGGGAGACATATGGGCATCTTCAGAATTTGATATCGAGACTTTGGCCATCTCAAAGCTTTCCTTAAAACCTCTTAGATCTTTATTTCAGATGCTAGGAAACTGATGTCAACTCTAGAAATTCAGAGGCAGGAGAGAGAGAGATCCACAGACTCCTGGGTTTGTTTCCCTTTCCCCAAAGATTCTAGAGGCAGCAGGCAAAGCTGAGCCCCTGGGGTCGGCCGGCAGGGCTTGCTGCTTGCAGGTGGTGGATAACGGCTGATGATAGTACCTGAACAGGTAACTACTTTCTCAGCTGCCTCGGGCCCTGAAAGTCTCATCGGCTAATGGCAAGAGTTGACTCCAGATGTAGCTAACTCCAGCTGCAGCTGACTACAGTTTTTTTTTTTTAAAGGAAAAGGCATTCTTATTCTTTGAGAATTTCATACATATAGACAATGTACTTGGTCATATCCCCTCTCAATCCTTCCTTCCAGCTCCTCCTGGTCCTCTCCCATACCACATCCTCCTCCCAATTTCATGTTCCTTTTCTTTTTCTTTTTTTGTTTTTTTGTTTTTGTTTTACGAGACAGGGTTTCTCTGTATTGTTTTGGAAGCTGTCAGTCCAGCCTGGCCTGGAACTCACAGAGATCCGCCTGCCTCTGCCACCCGAGTGCTGGGATTAAAGGTGTACGCCACCACCGTCAGGCTCCTTTTCTTTTTCTAAAGCCCCCGGCTGACTCCTGTTGTTAGCTTCCTCCATCTGTAGCTGATTCCAAGCGTAGCTGTAGCTTCTCACCCTGCTGCCTTGCTTCCAGCAAGTCTGGCCTTCTGGGCAAGTGTACAGCTTACAGATGGGTAGGATGAAACCAGGCTGGCTGAATGCTGGTCTGGACCTAGGAAAAGAAAGGCAAATATACAGTTTAATGTAATAAAACAAAACAAACAAAAAACCCAACCAGCCTGTTGTCTTGCTGTTTCCAAACCTTAGACAAGACTAGTGCTTAAAGGCATGGTGACAGACGCTTAGCAGGGTGCCTTTTATAGATGAGCAAACAATAAAGAACCTGAGGTGGAGTGGTGGCTGAGTCTCTAGTGAGGAAATACATAAGGAACATGTAGATATGGATGCATGCTTTCCATATACAGAAAAAAAAAATAGGAAAGAAAGAAGAGAACTCGGGAGGCAGAGGCAGGCGGATCTCTGTGAGTTCGAGGCCAGCCTGGTCTACAGAGTGAGTTCCAGGACAGCTTCCAAAGCCACAGAGAAACCTTGTCTTGAAAAACCAAAAAAAAAAAAAGAAAGAAGAGAAAAAAGTAAAAGCAGAGATGGAGGTCATTATGATGGCTACAGTCTTGGCCATTGGCTGGGTTGGCGAACCTGCTGTCCAGATAGTTTGCCTTCCCTTGGCTCAGGTTGATCCGAACCCTTTCCTTCCAGGAGACAACAATCGTATCCCTGTTATCGGGCCACTGAAGATCCGGGAGCAGCAGCGATCCGCTGTCTCCACCAGCTGGCTACTGCCATACAACCACACCTGGTCACATGACAAGGTGTTTGTGCACACACCCACAACTAACTACACACTCCGAGACTATCGCCAGTTCTTCCAGGACATCAGATTTGAAGACGGCTGGCTCATGCGTCAGGACACAGAAGGCCTGGTTGAAGCCATGATGCCACCTGGCGTGGAGCTGCACTGCCTCTACGGGACTGGCGTCCCCACACCAGACTCTTTCTATTATGAGAGCTTTCCTGATCGAGACCCCAAGATCTGCTTTGGTGATGGTGACGGCACTGTGAACTTGGAGAGTGTCTTGCAGTGCCAGGCCTGGCAGAGCCTCCAAGAGCACAAAGTATCATTGCAGGAACTGCCAGGAAGTGAGCACATCGAGATGTTAGCCAATGCCACTACCTTGGCTTATCTGAAACGTGTGCTTTTCCAGCCTTGATTCCTGTGCCAGGCTGCTGGATGGCTGGACCATGGAGCTTCTCTTGGGCTCTGACCCTTTTGTGGCCTACAAGCTTGGTAAAAAGTTTGTGACCGTTATTAGAGGTCCTAGGTCTGAGGCTGTGAGGCATTTGCCTCAGGGGAATGCTGTTTCTCGTCCTCTGTGTAAAGACAGGGAAGAAAGGGAAGACCCAAGTGTGGATTCAAAGGACATTTGGTAGAAAGAATGCTGCTGCTGATGGCATTGTGACCTCAGACTGGCTCGGCAGGCTGGCTTCTCTGGCTCCTCACCCTGGTCCCCAGCTGGGGCCACGCAGTCTTCCTAGTTCTCTGGCCTTTCTACTCTAGCCCACTGGGCCCTAACCTTCCTGTGAAGGATGTTACCGAGCTGAGGTCCTGCCCTGGAAGGTTCCACAGTGGCCGTCAGGTGACCTTCCCACACACTGGCTTTAGGTAGCCTACTGGCTAGGGCTGCTAACGTCCCTGTGACCTCACTGGTGGGCATCCTGAGTGTGGCCTCCGGGAGGCAGTCCAGCACCCCTGCAGGCAGGGCGGTTTGTTGTGTTCTCCATGATTCCTCCAGGTCCTGGGATATTTAGACTCCACTCCTACCTCTCACCTCTAGCAGCATCCTAGTCCTAGTTCTGGATTGGGCAGCAGAGGATCCCTCAGTTCTGGGGGCCATGTCCTAGGATTCCTGATCTCCTTAGTTGTGATGTGAGTCCCCGTACTGAAGCTGGCTCTCTTGGTTCTGGGACTGTATTTTAAGGAAAGCAGGGCCTAATGTTATGGCCTTCTAGCTTGGTACCTAGAAGAAGGGGAGCTCAAGGGGGCAACTTTCCCTGAGCCACCTTCTTGAGAACCCCACCACCATACTGCACACTGCCTGTGGGGCCTTTCTATCAACCACTTGGGCGGCACAAGGGGAGAGGGGTGGTAGAGTTCCTGCCCAACGCTTGCTCCCACCAGGCAGCTGAACGGGTTTGGTTTGCCAGAGTTAGTCGAGAGGTTGAAAGGGTTCCGGAGAGGGAAGAGCATGGCATCCAAGCTAGGGCTTTTTTTTTGTTTTTTTGTTTTGTTTTGTTGTTGTTTCCCCTAGGGATGCTGCATGGTCTCTGTGTGACAGCAGAGATGGTGAATCTGGGCCTGTCCTAGGGACAGTGGACCTGACTATAGGCTGAGACTTGGGTCAGCTTTTAGTTTGGAGTCCCCAGACCACTTTCCGGCTGGACTACATACACTGCCTTCCCACACGATTCTCACTGGACTTCCCTTGTTAGGCACATTCCCGCCATCTCTCCCTCACCTGATGGTGGTCCCCACCTGGGGCAGAGCAAGCTGTACCTCAATTTTGGCAATAAAAGTATTCTGGCTGGTGTAAGGTGCCTTGTTCTGCACTGTGCATGAAGGAGGGAGGTGTCGGGTAGGAAGGTGCTGTAGAGGTGAGCAGCTGGGCTGCAGCCTTGCTGGTGTCTCAGGATTATCCCCTGCCTTTGCTTTATCCTTCTGTTCTCCCCTGGGACCAAGGAACGGGCCAGAACCTTGGAGCTGTGCTTTTGTCCTCATCCTGTTTCTGCCCAATCAGCAATCCCTAAATGATGCTCCAAAGTGGGTGAGGGTGGGGGTAAAGGCTGGTCCTGCAGGTGAGCCTGGCTGGATGCCCTAGCCTCTTCCCTCAGCTTCTGGTTCATTTTAGGAAGTCACCTTTCCAAATTCTGCATCTTACCTTCTGAGTCTGGACAGGAAGTCATAGTAAGAGATCAGGCACTGGCTAGCTCAGCTTCACCAGAAGACCCCTTAGAACTTTGCTTCAGATGCCAGAAACTTGCCAGCCCTGAAAGCCCAGATGTGGATGACATGGAAGTCCAGAAGCTCCCGTGAACCCTGTTCTCAAGGGTCCTAGTAGGAGGAAGAGAGACTAGGTCAAGACTGGGATGGGCAGAGTGGTATGAGTGGAGATGACTAAGAAATGGGAGCACGTGGAGATGGATGGATGAAGGGAGTGCCTGAGATAGGGAAGTATGCAGGGGATTGGGCCCAGCCTGATCTTTATGGTGTAGAGCCTGGGGCCACTGAAGATGCCTTGGAAGCATACGGTTTCCCTATTGAGCTGGTCAGACTGTTGATATATTCTATGGCCACTAGAGGGCGACCCAAGCCGCACTGTTTCAGGCACAGTGAATGCAGTGTTAGCCAGACCTGGAAGGACGGGGTGGTCAAGAAAGGGGAAATGAGGTAAGGCCATCCAAGTCCAGCTGTGCACTGGCTTAAGTGAAAGGTTGATAACACGAAAAGAAGCCTCACTCCCAGATCCTACTCAGCTTGACCCTTTGTGATGACCCTGTAGCCTGCTCTTTCCAACTTTTTTTTTAGCCTTACTGGGATCTGAATTTCAGAGGTTCAGAAAGGCACTCTGTCAGCATCAGCCAATTTCCAATTTTCTTTTTTGTTGTTGTTTCTTTTTCAAGACAGGGTTTCTCTGTGGCTTTGAGGCTGTCCTGGAACTCGCTCTGTAGACCAGGCTGGCCTCGAACTCACAGAGATCCGCCTGCCTCTGCCTTCCCCAGTGCTGGGATTAAAGGCGTGCGCCACCAATGCAGGGCCCAATTTTCTTTTGCCCTTTTGACTTTCCTGAGCCTCAGCTTCCTTACCTGATTGAGGATAAATAAATATATCCCACAGGGACGATCGCTCCTGTAAAACAAGAATACCGATGTTGGAAAACATCTGATCCTGTGTCTTATACAGAGTGAGCGTTCGACTGAAGAGTTTTATATGTGAACGTGAGACAGCAAAGCCAGAGATCTGGATGCAAGCCAGCAGGTTTCTCTAAGCAGCTATAGAAAGGACAAATGGATGGCTGTCACTGAATGGAGGGAGCGTTGCACTGGACAGGCTGGGAGAACTGATTCCAGAAGTACAGGGTCAAGCCCAACTGACCTAAATATATGCTGGGAATCCAGCTGCCGTCAGGCTGCAATACTTATGTGTCATTGTCCTGATACCTTGTCTGTCTGTGGATCTGTAGATAACAGAGTTTCTCACATATGGTAGGGAGTTTACAGCGAAGGAGTGAGTATTGGTGGCCTCATATCCTGCTCCCTACCCCCTACCCTGGGAATCAGAGGGTCTGGCTTCAGGCTTTTTTTAAAAGATTTTATTTATTTATTATGTATACAGTGTTCTGTCTGCATGTATGCCTGCAGGTCAGAAGAGGGCACCAGATCTCATGACGGATGGCTGGGAGCCACCATGTGGTTGCTGGGAATTGAATTCAGGACCTCTGGATGAGCAGTCAGTGCTCTTAACCTCTGAGCCATCTCTCCAGCCCTGGCTTCAGGCTTTTGCTGGGAAGCCTCCCTCATTCTCAGAGTGATATAAGAGACTACCTATTGATTTCCTGTCTTTAGACATCCTATCATGCTCTTTCCTGGTGCTGGAGCCTGAACTCTCCTCGGAGTCCTTGTCATAATGCCTGTCTATATGTGTTCTCCATGGTGTTAACAACTCTGTTAATGAGCTCCATACACCCAACGATCCACCTTGGGGCCCTCTTGCATCAGAGAACTTTTAAGGATTCTAAGCAGAGTACACGAAAAGGGGTAGTACCAACAAGGATTCCTCAAGGACTGTCTTTCTATAGGCCTGTAGTTAAGTCTCAAAGAAACTCTGGACAAATGGATTCCTCAAGGACTGTCTTTCTATAGGCCTGTAGTTAAGTCTCAAAGAAACTCTGGACAAATGGCTAGCTGAGGTGCCTACTGACATGCAAAATTGGATGCTGGCTGCCAGGTTTTTCCAGAGCCTGTTACCACCCAATCAAGAGTCCTAGAACTTCTTAACATGCCTGAGGTTCCCCCCACCTCTCCAGCCCCTGAGTTTGCTCCCCTTCCCTCATCTTCTCTTTCCTATATAAACTCAGCCATTTGGGCTACATGCTCTTCTGGGTCTTCTCTTGGCCTCTTAGTCCTAGGCCCCTCTCTTCCTCCACTTGCCCTGTCCCCTCCCCCCCTTCTTGCTCTATCCCAGTCCCCTCCTCTGGTAGCCTGGTCTGTTCTGCTGGCAATGTTCATCTGTCTTCCAGATGCCTCTGGCAGTGCCCTCCCTTTTCAACCATACGTAGGAGTGGTCATGTTCTCATTTTCACTCATCAGGAGGAGGAAGGAAGCATTTAAAAAAATTTATGTACATGAGTGCTCTCTCTCTCTCTGCATGTATGTGTGCGTACCAGAAGAGGGCATTGGATCCCATGATAGATGGTTGTGAGCTTCCATGTGGTTTCTGGGAATTGAACTCAGAACCTCTGGAAGAGCAGCCAGTGATCTTAAACGCTGAGTCATCGTTCCAGCAGAAAGGTTTTTTTTGAGTGATTGATTTTATTTTTAATTATGCATCTGTATTGTGGGTATGGTACATGCAGATGCCCTCAGACACTAGACACACTCTTAATTGGTGAGCCATCCTTCCAGTCCCCTTGAGGGGAGATTTGAAGCTATTCCAGTCTGTATTTTAGAAGCATCTCCTACCCCACGGTGATGGGGAAATGTGTTAGACTCACAGGTTTATACAATCTTTGGATATTTCAACATGACTTTGTCATTACAAAATTCCCCCCAGATTTATTTATTGTATACACAATGTTCTGCCTGCATTCTAGAAAAGGGCACCAGATCCCATTATAGATGGTTGTGAGCCACCATTGAACTCAGGACCTCTACAAGAGCAGCCATCTCTCCAGCCCAGTCATTACAAATTTTGCATTTAGTAATAACCCATCAATGTCCGGGCGGTGGTGGCACATGCCTTTAGTCCTAGCACTCGGGAGGCAGAGGCAGGAGAATCTCTGTGAGTTCAAGGCCAGCCTGGTCTACAGAGCCAGTTCCAGGGCAGCCTCCAAAGCCACAGAGAAATCCTGTCACAAAAAAAACCAATCAAGTTATGAAAGTTCACAATTTGTAGAATTTTACAATTTACAAACATGCAAAAAAACCCACCAATCTCATAACATTTTAAGTAATTTTGGGTGGGGGCATGGCGTGCCTGTGGCAGGTGCTTGCTGCATGTTGGACTCTTGAGGCAGCTGGCTGGGCACTGGCCTGCAGATTGGAAAAAAGAAGTTCAGGTGTTCTGCATTTCCAACTGAGTGCATGGGAGCAATGGTTTGAGTGTCTGAACCAGGAAAACTGGCTAGAAGAAACCACTGGGCAGCAGTCCTTGTGTGGTGAATCATGGACAAGATCATGTACCATATTTATGGTACAGCCTGTTCCCCAACAAGCTAGATTTAGCCACACATACTCATCAACTGAAAATGGAGCCAAATCTATAGTGAAAAGCAGATTTATTCAATGTAAATAAATTCACATTGGAAGTGACAGAGATCCAATGACCCCCCCCAAGTCCATCTTTGGGGGTTCTGATATGAAGATAGGATTTATTTATTTAGTTGTTTTTATTTTTGAGACAGGTTTTCTTTGTGTAGTCTTGGCTGTCCTGGAACTCTATAAACCAGGTTGGTCTTGAACTCACAGAGCTCTGCCTGCCTCTGCCTCCTGAGTGCTGGGATTAAAGACGTGCTCCCCTACTGCTGGCACCTGGTGGGTTTCAAATTTTTTTTGTTTATTTTTGTTTTGAGACAGGGTCTGTGTAACCTTGGCTAACCTTTAATTTAGAAGTCCACTTCCCTCTGCGTCCCCCTCCCCCCGCCCCAGTTTAAAGGCAGGCGTCACTAAGCCCTGCTAATTTTTCTTCTTAGAGTCATTTTACCTTATGTGTGTGTGTTTTTGCCTGCCTGTCTGCATACATATGTGCCTGTTGGATTTCCAAGAACTGGAGTTACAGGTGGTTAGGAACTACCTCATGAGTGCTGGGAATCGAATTCCCTCCCTCAGTCAGTGATCTTAACTACTGAGCCATCTCTTTTGCCCCCAGGATAGGGTTTAAACTTAAGCAAGAAGTGCGGAAACTAGAAACTAGGTGTAGTCCCTTGTGAACTCCCAGTCTCTCTTTGAAGGTCATCTCACCAAGTTCTAAGTTTTTCTCCAAGGGGTAAGTTCCTCCTTTGGATGCTTCTTCTCATAGCAGGAAATTCCTGGGGGGAAAATAGTGATTTCTTGGGGTCAATTTTCTGTTTTCGTTTTTTGGAGACAGGGTTTCTCAGTGTAACAGCTCTGGATGTTCTAGAACTCACTCTGTAGACCAGGGTGGCCTCAAACTCAGAGATCCACTTGCCTCTGCCTCCCCAGTGCTGGGATCAAAAGCATGCACCACCACCGCCCGGTTATGGGGTCCATTTTTTTTTTAAGTCTGATAGCCTAAGAGGAGAGCACAACTATCTCTTTGGAATATATTTATTCCTGCCAGATAGGTCGGTTAGAGAGTCCAGAGGAATCTAAAAGCTGGTCTTAGCCTGAGCGCCAGCGCTACCCAAGAAAAAGATAACCTAAAAGGAGATAGAAGAGGAGCAACCAGGGAGAGAGGAAAAGGACAGGAGGCTGCAGCTTCCCCAAGAGGGGGGTCAGCAGGGTCGGGCGAAGCAGGACAAAGCTCTGGGGTGGCTAAAGGAGAAGGGGGCTCGAAGTGAATCTGAGCTGAACGGCAGAGCACGGGTCCTGGTGTGTTATTTCTTCCTGGATTCCATAGGCAGCCACACAGGGAGGCGGTCTAGAGGTCTTTGTGCGAACTAAGGTCCCACTGGGTGTGGAGTGCCCATCAAAGGGACCTTTTAGAGCTCCCCGCTGCAGCGCATCCCCACGGGCTTCAAGCGACTGCGTGCCGAGTCCGGGAGTGGCCATCCCAGGTGAGGGCGACCGGGCCCCAGTCACGGTCCGCGGGGGGCTCTGGCGCGGCCTGCCGGAGGCTGCTCTGGTACAGCACGCGGACCGCCTGGTGCCCGGAAGCAACGCCGCCTGAAGCCCCCGCTCCGAGCCGGGTCCCCGAGCGGCGCGCGCTGTCGGGATCCGGTGCGAGTGACGTGGCGTGGGCGGGGCTTGGGCGGCTGCGCGACCGAGTATCCTGGCAGCGCCGGCACACGGGAGCTATCCTGCGGGGACGAGGAGGTGAGGGGCTCGCTCGCTCCGTTTCGGCCCGGGGCTGGTTCCGGTCCGGCGCGAACCGTCCCGTGTGCGGCCGAACGCTCAGCTGGGCCGCCGTCGCCGCGTGCTGGATGCGAGCCGGAAAGCGCGTGGGGCGGAGGGCGCGCGGGAGGGACGCCGCGCCTGAGAGGAGGACGCCGGGAGCGTGGAGCCCTGAGTGGACGGTGGTGTGAGGAGGAGGCGCGCGCGCGCGTGCCCGCCCGTGTGTGTGAGGGAGAGACCCCGGGTGGTCTTGTGAGTGTGCAAGACCCTAAGTGTGAGGAGGGTTGTGTGTGAAAGAGAAAACTGCGAGACCGCGAGCGTGAGGGAGACCCCGTGTGTGTGTGACGGAAAAACCCGGAGCGTGAGGAGAGAAGCTGTGGGTGTGAGGGTGACTCTGGAGTGTGTGCTACCCTGAGAGGGACGGAGACAGAGAAGGAGGTTTGAGTGTGAGAGAAATTACGAGTGTAAAGGCTGAGAGACTGGGTCCTTCGCCGTCTGTGACCGGGTGAGCCTGATCGATCCCCTAGGGCATAGACTGCGAGGAAGACGCTGTTGTTCGGGAGACCGTGAGTGTGAGGAGGGCAGAGATTGCTGGGCTGGTGTGTGAATGCAGGAATGCAGCTTCTTGGGGCTTTTGAAACCTCCGACTCGTGTTGGGACTTAGAGTGCTGAGGTATTGCCGTTTGGGAACACGGTGCTCTTGTGGCGCTTTTGAGTGTCTCCATATTTTGTCATCTCATGTCACAAATGTCAAGAAATATTTGTGAAACATTCTGAAAATTCTGTACTGAGCGCTAAGCCCAAAGGCTAGTCATCGTGTTGTGTAATGGGTCAGTATAAATAGAAATCAACATCTAAATTAACAAGTCTTGAAAGCAATCGTGAGCACTGGGCTATGTGTGGCAAAAAATCAGTCTCTGCTGTAGATGGGGGGAAAACCGCTCAGTCTTGGGCCGCTAATCTAACTGTCCATGTAGCAGGATGCTCAGTTGTTTGGCGCCTTGTTTCTGAGCGCTGCTCCCGGATTTGAAGATTTAGCGGGAGCAGATTTGAAGCCTGCCAATTGTGTGTCCTGAGGTCAGTTTTACTTCTTTACCTGGGGAGGCCCTTCAGGAAGCTGCCCAGGCTTCCTACTTAAAGTTACGTCGTGGTTTCATACCGATGGCTTTTGCTTCCCGAGTTTGCTCTTAGGCTGTTTTCTTGAGTTATATTTGGTTTTCCTCTCTTAGCAAATGTGAGGAGAAAAAAAATCACAATCCAGATGGGGATATAGGGTCTCGGATAGTACCTGCCTACTATATGCAAAGCTTTGGGTATCATCCCTATTTCCTCAAACAAGAGAGAAAAAGAAAGACAGGAAGACAAAGACAGAAAGAAAACCATAAGCCTGATTTTTTTTTCCTTCACCCTTTACTTTTATTTAGCTGTGGATTTTTTTTTTTGACCGAAATGTATATACTGATCTTGGAGTATCTTGATAGAGGGAATTTCCTGACATTTATGCATTCTTGCTGTAATCTCTAGAATGTGGAGATGTTTCTACAACAGTTATGTAAATGATGCTCTTACCACCTGGGAGTAATATCTCCCTAGTGACTTTTGAGATGACCAGGGCAGTTTTCTGACACCAAATTTGGGCTGATCGTGTCTGTCAAACCCTCATAGAGTTCATTTGAGGACTCTCTTTAATGGGCATGTAAAATTGAGATTTTACAGGAGAAAATATTATCCTGATGCTTTCTGTAAGTTAATATTTTTTGATAAAGTAACTAAGAACTTATTCTTTGTTCCAGAGATTGAATGGCCAAAACAGAGAAGTGGAATTAACACTTGCTGAAAGCATTTCTTTTCTTCTTGGTACCTGACTCATTTGTGGTGAAACAGCTTGAAGTGTGACAGGTGATTATGACCACTCTGTTCCCTTGTCGGCCCTTCCCTCCCTCCCTCCCTCCCTCCTTCCTGTCTTCTGTCTATCCATCTATATTTATAAAAAGGAATCTGTAGTTATTTGCATACTTTGTGGCTATGATGCTAATAAAAAGGATTAAGAGGCCAGCCTGGACTACAGAGAGTTCCAGGACAGCCAGGACTACGCAGAGAAACCCTGTCTTAAAAAACCAAAACAAACAAAAATCACAGTGCCATGAAACTTGTTTTGTAAATGAGTTATGTATATGTTTTAGTTTTTTTTCAAGGCTGGGTTTCAGTGTAGCCTAGGCTGGGCTCAAACTCTTTGTAGATGGGGATGACTTTTAGCCTCTCAAGTGGTGGGATTATAGGCCTGAGCTACAATGCTTACCTCTATTTACTAATTATTATTATTATTATTTATTATTATTATTATTATTTTGGTTTTTGTGTTGTGTTGTGTTTTGTTTTGAGGCAGGGTTTCTCTGTAGCCTTAACTGTCCTGGAACTCACTCTGTAGAACAGGCTGAGGCCTCAGACTCACAGAGATCTGCTTGCCTTTGCCTCCTAATTGCTGGGATTAAAGGCGTGGACCACCATGCCTTGCAGAAGTAAGAGTATTTTAGTCATTGTGATTGGGAGGTATATTGTATCTCAGTACTTGATATTCTCCATAAGATGGTAAACATAATTTTTGTTACATTATGAAAAAGCTACAGTGAATATATCTACAACTTTCTTTGTGATTGCATTTTGAGATTGATTTACTTTTTTCTTAAAAAATTGAATATGAGCGGGGCGTTTGTGGCGCACGCCTTTAATCCCAGCACTTGGGAGGCAGAGGCAGGCGGATCTCTGTGAGTTCGAGGCCAGCCTGGTCCACAAGAGCTAGCTAGTTCCAGGACAGCCTCCAAAGCCACAGAGAAACCCTGTCTCGAAAAACCAAAAAAAAAAAAAAAAAAATTGAATATGATAGTTTCTTTGTTAAATTTTCATGAAAAAATTTTAGGGGTCTACAGGATCCTGAAAAATACGATGAAATCCTGCTAGAAACTTCTGTTTTCTCTTCTTTTTCTTATCAGGGCTGAGGATTGAACCCTGAGTCTCAAGCCTCAGCCCTGGTATGTATGTACTCTGCCCGTTGAGTAACATTTTCAGCCCCTGGGATGTGTCTTTTTCAGGTGCAACATTGTTTTTTCAAGATAGGATATCTTGGGAATAAATCAAATGATTCATGGAAATTGTTTCCAACAGTAATTTCAGAGATGTCAGCATGTTTGAGATTGAGACTAGTAACTATGTGTGATTTATACAGATTTTTTTGTTTGTTTGTTTTTTCTTTTTCTTTCTTTTTTTTTTTTTTTTTTTGGTTTTTTCGAGACAGGGTTTCTCTGTATTGTTTTGGAGGCTGTCCTTGTTTGTTTGTTTTTTGAGACAGGGTTTCTCTGTATTGTTTTGGAGGCTGTCCTGGAACTCTCTCTGTAGACCCGGCTGGCCTTGAACTCCTAGAGATCCTCCTGCCTCTGCCTCCCAAGTGCTGGGATTAAAGGCATGCGCCACCAACGCTTGGCGATTTATACAGATTTATTTTACCTGTTGTATAAGAATTGAAGGCAGTCAACTCAGACAGGTGTTATGGTAGAATTTTGATAACCCACTTCTAATACCAGGCTTAAGATGGGCCTCTTAAACCAGCAGTTTTCATCCCATTGTTTCAGAGGGTCTGCAGATCTCTGTGGGGATGGTATGGACAATGCCTCACAAAGGTATGGGGTCCTTTTTTGGGTATCTGTAGTACTATGGGACTGATTAAATGCAAATGAATTAATACTATTACTGTAGTCAGTGTAACATTTTGGTTATTACTTATCTCAACTTTTACCTGAAAAACAAGGACAATGGCAAAGAATGTCTGGTCTAAATACTGTGTTCTAGGACAGCTTGACTTCTGATTCACTGTCTCAAAAGGAAAAACCAACCCATATATATATCTGTTTATGTGTATATATATTTTTTAAAACAGCTTTTAACAAAAGCATCATTTTGCTTTGTTTTACTTATGTATGCTTTTTAAAAAAGATTTATTTATTTATTACATATACACCAGATTGAATTGTAGATGGTTGTGAGCCACCATGTGGTTGCTGGGAATTGAACTCAAGACCTCTGGAAGAGCAGTCAGTGCTCTTAACCTCTGAGCCATCTCTCCAGCCCCACTTATGTATGCTTTTAAAATTCCATTTACTATTTTTACATGTACATGAGTGCGGGCACATTAGAGCTATGGACTGCATGTGGAGGTCAGAGGAAAACTTTTTAGGGAGTTGGTTCTCACCCTCCACCTTGTTGAGGCAAAAGTCTCTCTTGCTGATTGTTGCTGTTAGCATGCTCCAATCTGGCCCACAAGCTTCCTGCCGGTTTGCCTATCTCAGCCTTCCATCCGGCCATCCAGTGCTGGGAGTCTTTAGGAGATTGAAGTTGGTTCATCAGGCTTGTACAAGTGCTGTTTACTGACTGAGCCATTTTTCTGGACTCTTTTTTCGAGACATGGTCTCTCTATGTAGTTAAGGGTATCCTTTAGTTTGTTATCTTCCTACCTTAGAAGACAGTCTCCCTAGTATTTAGGATTATAGTATGTACAACCAAGCTGTGTTCCTAGCTTTCTTTTGATTTATGCTTGGTGTTTGTTATTTTTCTTTTTAAAATATAATTTACTTAACACTATTTTATGTGCATTGGTGAGAAGGTGTTAGTTCTCCTGGAACTGGAGTTACAGACAGTTGTGAGCCATCATATGGATGCTGGGAGTTGAACCCAGGTCCTCTGGAAGAGTAGCCAGTGCTCTTAACTGCTGAGCCATCTCTCCAGCTTCTTTTTTCTTTCTTTTTTGAAACAGACTCTCATATAGCCTAGGCTGGAGTCTTGTGTAGCCTAGGCTGGCCCTGAACTCAGATACATACATACATACATACAGTGGAAGATAACTATTTTGTTCCTTTTGCCTTCACTTTTTGAGCACTGAGATATAGACATGGGCTTCTGTACTGGGTTTATGCTATACTGGAGAGCAAACCCAGGACTTTGTGCCTACCAGGCAAATAACTTTATCTGTTGGGTCCTTTTCTCAGTAGCTTACTTACATCTTTATAAAGTGATTTCCTATAGTTTCCTAACTTTTTTTTTTTTTTTTTTGGTTTTTTGAGACAGGGTTTCTCTGTATTGATTAAAGGTGTGCGCCACCAACACCTGGCTACAGTCTGACACTATTAACAGTATCTTTTACTTGGTGTGTTTATATCACTTATATTAAATGTAGTTATATAACTTGATTAAAACCTGTTATTTTAGATAGACTTTATGCATACCTATAGTCCCAGGACTCAGGACTCCTGCAGAGATAGGAAGATTGCTGCAAGTTTGAGGCCAGCTTGGTCTATAGACATGCATCATCACACCCAGTTCTCTGCTGGTGGCATATTACTTATACCTCTTTAATTTTTTCTTTAATTTTTTAATTGTTGCCCTAATTTTACTGGCCTCTAGGGGATAGGGCCATAATTATACATCTGGCAAACTCTCTACCATTGAGCTATACTTTAGCCTCATGAGTCTTTAATTACAGTCTACCCTTAAATAATATATTCCTTCACTATAATGTAAGAACTTTATACAGTATTTTCCTAGTTTCTGCCTCCTATTCTTTATGACAGTATTGTCAGCTTTTTTTGCCTTTGTGCTATAAACCCACACTACATTTCTGCAACTTTTGCTTCAGGCTTCATTTATAGTCTAAACAAATGTAAAATCGTCTCCCTCCCCCTACTTACTGCAGATCATTCGATACTGATTGTCCTACAGCTTTTATATATTTTGCCTGTTTTATTTTTTCTATTCTGACTCATAGTTTTCTACATTTGTTCCTTTTAGTGTTGAGCTTATACATTAAAGGTCTAGGATTGAACCCAGGGTCTCATGCTTTGCAAGCACCCAACCCCTGAGTTATATGCCCAGACTCGTTGCAGTTATTGGTTTGCCTTTTGTGTATTTGAATGGAAGTCAGTGGTCACCTTGTGGGTTTTTGCTGTTGTTGTGTTTTTTTTTTGTTTTTTTGAGACAAGTCTGTGTAGGACTGGCTGGCCTGGTACTAACAGAGATGCTTCTGCCTCCTGAGTGCCGGGATTAAAGGCATGTGCTACTAACCACTATGCCTGACCACCTTGTGTTGTTGAAGAAGGGTCACTCATGATTATACAGGAAGCCCTGAGCTGTCTCCAGCCCCCACCACCCCTTTATTTTTTTCTTGCTCTTTTTTTGTTGTTGTTTTTTGAGATGAGGTATTGCTTCATTACACAGACTAGTCATGGACTTCTGGGCTTGAGTGATCCTCCTGTCTTAGGCCTCTAAGTAGCCAGGATCACAAGCAACTGATTACATCTGCCCATCCCCCACTCCCTCCCATTGTGTTGTTTTTTGTTTTTTGTTTTTGTTTTTTTTCCGAGACAGGGTTTCTCTGTAGTTTTAGAGGCTGTCCTGGAACTTGTTCTTTAGACCAGGCTGACCTTGAACTCACAGAGATCTGCCTGCCTCTGCCTCCAGAGTGCTGGGATTAAAGGCATATGCCACCAACGCCTGGCTCCATCATTGTGATTTAAACAGTGTATTTGATGTTTCTAATATCTGGGTTCTCTCCAAATCTTGTCATGCTGATTATCTTGTCTCTTGATAGTGGGTTGTTTTTCTTGCTTTTTTTTCCTTTCCTTACAATTTGCTAGTGATTGCCATAGTTTGTAGAATATGAGAAATTTGAGTTATATAATTTTTGTTTTGTTGTGGTTTTTTTTTTTTTTTTTTACTTTTTGGTTGTGAGCCTAGCCTTTAACGGCTGAGCCATCTCTCCAGCCCCCCCTTTTTTTTTTTTTTTTTTTTTTTTTTTGGTTTTTTGAGACAGGATTTCTCTGTGGAACTTGTTGTTTTTTTTAAAGATTTATTTATTCATTCATTCATTTATTATGTATACAATGCTCTGTTTGCATGCATCCCTGTGGGCCAGAAGAGGGCACTAGATCTCATTATGGATGGTAGTGAACCACCCATGTGGTTGCTGGGAATTGAACTCAGGACCTCTGGGAGACCAGCTAGTGTTCTTAACCACTGAGCCATCTCTCCAGCCCTGTTGCTTGTTTTTTGAGACAGGATTTCTCTTTGTAGCTTTGGAGCCTGTCTTGGCACTCACTCTGTAGACCAGGCCGGCCTCCAACTCACATAGATTCCCCTGCCTCTGCCTCCCAAGTGCTGGGATTAAAGATGTGTGCTAACACTGCCCAGTGAGGTATATAATTTTTATTCTGAAAAATAGGTATGACTCTTTTGTAGGGTTCTTGGTAGAAGAGTTTGAACCAATTAAATAGAAGAATTGTGTTGAAGTTTTGTTGTTACTATGGTGCTTTAGGTAACCTTACCTTCACATTCTTCTGGGGTTTCTTTGAGCTTGGGGTTGGTTTGCTTTTCTATAGGGAAGGCCTTTTTTCTCAAAGTGTATGTTCTAGTTTCAGCTTTGGTCCTTGATGTACAGTATGCTATACTCTAGGTGTCATACTGCTCTGTCTTTTTTCTGGGTGCAGACTGCTAGTGGGGAGCAGGGAGGTTCTTTTTTTGTCTGACTCAGCCTCAGTTTCCTTGTGTCTGGGTGGGATTGATCTTTTTGGCTTATTTTGCCTGGTACAGTGGTTTTAACCAGAATTTCCTGTCTCTTTCTCAGTCACAAAGGTTTTTTTTTTTTTTTTGAGACTGTATAAATTATCTCCCAATCTTTCTCAGAAATCTGGCCCAACTTTATCTTCATCTCCTCTTCATCTTCAATATCTTTGTCTTTTTTCCAGACAGGGTTTTTCTGTGTAATAGCTCTGGCTGTCCTGGAACTCATAGAGTTCTTCCTGCCTCTGTCTCCTGAGTTCTGGGATTAATGGTGTGTGCCACCACTTCCCGGTTCATTTTCAAGAGTTTTTTATTGGACTGGAGAGATGGCTCTGCTGTTAGTACTGGTTGCTCTTCCAGAGGTCCTGAGTTCAGTTCCCAGCAACCACATGGTGGCTCACAAACCATCTGTAGTGCCGTCTTCTGGCCTACATGCAGGCAGGAACACTGTATTCCTTTTTTTTAAGATTTATTTATTTATTACATATACAGTGTTCTGCCTACATGCCAGAAGAGGGAACCAGATTGAATTGTAGATGGTTGTGAGCCACCATGTGGTTGCTGGGAATTGAACTCAGGACCCCTGGAAGAGCAGTCAGTGCTCTTAACCTCTGAGCCATCTCTCCAGCCCCAGAACCCTGTATTCATAATAAATAAATAAATCAAAAAATTTAATACATACATACATATATATTTGTGTGTGCATGAATGCATGTGTGGTGAAGGTCAGAGACAACTTGTGGTAGATGGTTCCCTCCACTATGTAGGGTTGTGGGGCTCAAAATCAGGTCATTATTAGGCTTGGTGAATGTATCTTTAAGCATTGAGCCATCTCTCTGGCCCAAGCCTTTACATTTTGTTGAAGAGTTTTATATTGTTTAGTAAAATACTCACAGAAGGTCAGTGAGGCTTTTGGGAAGAACAGCTGAAGGTCAGGGAATATTGGGATACAGCCAGCTGGTGAATTCTGGTCTCTGACTATGGGATTTCTGATCTCAATTCTTGCTTATTTCCATGTTGCCATTTCACACTGTTTTGTTCTGAGGATATGTTGCATTCCCTTATTGATTTTGTTCATTGCTGTGTCTTTACATACAAACCTATCGGTTGAGGTGCCAGCAGGTTTCTAGAGGAATGTGAAGTGTGAGTTAAGATTTAGAAGAAAAGTAAGGAATGACCTTGGGGTTATTTGGCCATGCAAGTCAGGAATTTAGCCTACTGTCCTCAGGGAATTTGCTGTAGTTATTTCACAATTTTGCTCTTGAATTAAAAAAGATAGGGGTTTTAATTACCTTAGCTAAGGACAGGCTCATAGTGATAATTGCATTTGGTTGTTGAGTAAAGAAAAGAGCTTCTTAGCTGAAGGAGAGGAGCACTCCCTAAACTGCTTGTCCCTAATTCAGGTATTTCTAGGCAAGAGGTGTTCCGGGTCTGTGAATGATTGTAGCACATTCTTCCAGAATAAGCCACATGAGAAACACTAGTGCCAAGTTGTACAAGTACAAAAGGGATACCTGGTAACCCTCACTCTCGCCTAAGTTCTGATGGAATAGAGGAGGCTGCAGTAGCCTGTAGGGCCAGGCTTTTCTGCCTGTCTGTATATTGAGTATCTAAACTCTGAAGGTCTCTTTGTATCTCACCCATACGTGAGTATGGACTCCTAGGTGTTTACTGGATTTGTACCCATGGAAACCTGGACTCACTCTGACAGACATGTGAAGCAAATATGCTTCCACATGCTTGCATAGGGAAACCTACATAGAGCTTAGTGCCAAGAATGAAAAGTGTTCTGAAAGTCTAATCTTATTAAAGTAGAGGTAGGCTAACTTTACTCTTCTCATGCCATGGACAAGCTTTTTTAACTTGGGCCTAGGTTCAGAATCTTGGAGTGCATTGGGACAAGTAAAACAAGAGTTTTGGGTGGGGTCTATGGAGGTATGAGTTTTCCCTGATCCCTTGAGAAGTTTTCACACTCAAATCACCTTTGCTATGAGTCTAGGCTCTGGTATAGACATTTTGTTTTATTTTTGTTCTGTCCTCCAGCCCCACACTTTTTTGGGGGGGGGAGGGGATATGTAGTCAATGCTGACTTCGAACCTTTGATTCCCTCTGCTTCTGCCTCCCAAGTACTGGAATTACAGGTGCGTGCTGCTGCCACTCTGCCTAGCTTTATATCTTTGTTGAGAGGAATGGATTTTAGAAAGCTGAAGTGCTGAGTCCATTCTTTTTTTTTTTTTTTAAGATTTATTTAGCCGGGCGTTGGATTAAAGGCGTGCGCCACCAACGCCCGGCTTTTGGTTTTCTTTTTCTTTTTCTTTTTCTTTTTTTTTTTTTTTTTTTGGTAGTTTCTGACTCCCTATGAGCCCTGCTTAGTTGATTTTTGTGGCCCAGTGTTCTTGTGGTGTGCTATAGTCCTTCCTCCTTATACATTCATGATACTTGGATGTGTGTTTTCATGAAGGTCTCTGCTATGATTTTATACTTTTTTTTTCATTTTGGAGACATGGTTTCTCTGTGTAGAGCAAGCAGGCTGGCCTCAAAACTCAGAGATCTGTCTGCCTCTGCCACCCTGGTGCTGGGATCAAAGGTGTGCATCACCATGTGGAACTCAGGATCTTCTGAATGCTGGGATTACATTTGTGTGCTACCATACTAAGCTGTATTAGTGATAATATACTCTTCCTTAGCATCTTCTTAACCCTTCCTTCCATGTATATAACTGCAGATCTTTTCACATGTGGTTGAATGCCTGTAGAAATCCCTATTTATGGGGCTGGGGAGATGGCTCAGTGGTTAAGACCACTGGATGCTCTTCCAAAGGACCCTGGTTCAAGTCCCATCACCCACATGGCAGTTCACAATTTTCTGTAACTCTGGTATCAGGAAGATCTGATCTGGCATCCTTACACAGACATACACTCAGGCAAAACCTCAGTGTACATTAGAAGAAAAAAAAAGAAATAATCTGTGGGAACACTAGACCTTGAGCAGAGACCCACTTTCCCTTTTGCCTGGGAGTAGGCAGCTGTAAGACAATGTTTAGTAAAAACATATTTACTAAAAACGATACAATAAGTTTCTGGCCACTTTCCCTTCTGCCTGGGAGTAGGCAGCTGTAAGACAATGTTTAGTAAAAACATGTTTACTAAAAATGATATAATAAGTTCCTGGGAAAGGCCTTCCCACGGAAACCGCCCTGACCTCGACCTTGTCCAGAGACTAACCGCACCTTTAAAAACCCACACACATCCACCTCTGGTGTCAGAGCAGAACTAGCCAGGGGAGAGGAGAGAGCAGAAGTTTCTCTGGTGGGAGCTTTTCTTAGGAAGTTTTTCTTAAACCTTTTTGGAGCCTGTTTAAAGTTCTCTTTATATCGTTGAACGAGTCTCTGTGTTGTCAATCCCCGATACCCTCCGCACGTTCTCGGACACAGGCCACGCTGCAGACGTGACAATAATCTGTTTACATAGAGCTAAGTGACAGGATTGTCTATGGTCTCACTAGTTTTTTTAGGTTTCTGAATGACAGGTTTGTAAGTTTTAAGCTGATGAATGGAGCACATGCCTTAATTCTAGCCCTTGAGTTGAGGCCATCTTGTTGATCTACATAGTGATTTTCAGGACAGCCAGGGCTATATAAGCAGACCTTGTCTCAAACGAACAAATAGAATTTAGCAAAACTAGGGAGAATCTGCTGTGGGTAAATACAGTTTTGCTGGCCTCTTTGCTCAGTAAGACAGATCTCTTGTTGGAGGTTGTCCTTAGGTTGGGACTGAGTGCTTATGTTGTCTTTCTTAGGAGCATTGGATACTGCCTACTTCCAGTTGCCCGTGTCTCAGATTGAAACTGAGACAGGCCTATTGTGTTGTGTGTGTTGAGTGCTCTACCTAAGCAGGTGGTGGGCAGGGAAATCTGTCTGACTGGCAGATGTTAATTAAGCCAGAGTCACACTAGCTCCTGCCTCTGACTTGACACACTTGTTTTCTTTGCCAGGCCACAGTAAACACAGGTGTACAGGAACCATTTACCATGGAAGCCAGGGAACTTGGGAGTCCCACGCCCACCTACCATCTTCTCCCCAAGGCCAACCAGCACAGTGAAAAAGAAGATGTCAGCTCACCATCTCAAGGGTCTCCAGAAACTATGCAGCTGAAGAAGGAGATCTCCTTGTTGAATGGGGTCAGCCTGGTGGTGGGCAACATGATTGGCTCAGGGATCTTCGTCTCGCCCAAGGGTGTTCTGAAGTATACTGCTTCCTATGGGTTGTCACTAGTTGTATGGGCCATTGGTGGGCTCTTCTCTGTTGTGGGTGCCCTTTGTTATGCAGAACTGGGAACCACTATCACCAAGTCAGGGGCCAGCTATGCTTACATTTTAGAGGCCTTTGGGGGCTTCATTGCCTTTATCCGTCTGTGGGTCTCACTTCTAATTGTTGAGCCCACCAGTCAGGCCATCATTGCCATCACTTTCGCCAACTACATCATCAAGCCCTCCTTCCCCACTTGTGATCCTCCATATGTGGCCTGCCGTCTCCTTGCTGCTGCCTGCATATGTAAGTATGGGGGTAGGGCAGGGGGCATATGTGGAGGTGTGGGTGCTATATTGTTTGTATGGTTATTGATACCTAAATGTTATATTTCGCTCTTTGGGAAGGAGGGAAGGTGTGAGGTATCATATCTTTTGAAAAATAATTTGATCACTTATTTGGTTCTGAAAGATAAGTAAACATAAATGATGGGGATGGGAGAAGTTTGAAGCTGTTCATGCCGTTTGGGGCTGTGGGTTCCTCTTATTCTTAGTTGTCCCTCATTACTGTCCGTGCTCTGTGTGTCTAGTATTTGTCTTACCAATCATTTTTTTTTTCTCTCTGTCTTTCCTTTTATTTTTGGAGGGTCAGGTGTTTAGGATGGTTTCAGCATCACTATTTGTAACTTTCTCAGGGAACAAGTCAGAGCTAAGGCCTTGTAGTTTTTTGTTAGAGCTAGTTTAAAGATGTCAATGAGTAAATAGGCTTCTCTAGATGATGGGTCCCCAAGTCCCACAGGGTACTCTCTTTCCTGTCACTGCTGCTCTTTGTGGCCTGTTCTAAGCAGCAGGCACCATACCAAATGGCCTTTTCCCATTGGTGTTTCAGATTTCTTTACACTGACTTTGTAAACAAGCTCTGCCTGCTGCCACTGAGAGGAAGATAGCTTCTGTCCTGCCTTTAGGTTTAGGCAACAACCTCTCATGTAAGTGAGAGATTCCAAGAGATCCCTGTTTGTGTTCTTTTAGGGTGGAGTAAAGAATATTCAGTGTGAAATCATGGAAATGAGAGAAGATTGCTATGAATTTATTCAGGTTTGCTAGAGCTAGCACAGAATCTTGTGTTTCTTAGCACTGTGTGGCCAGTAGTACTTAATCATATCCTGTTCTTTATCTCTGCTTTCAAAAACTTTGGCTGTATATATAGCTTATTGGCAATTTTAAAAATAGATCAATAATATCTTGGAGTTAGCAAAAAAAAAAGTGTGTGTGCCTCCTGACTTTAAGGGCTTTGTTTAGGGCAAATAATAAAGGTGTTCTCTCTGTATTCCTTGAAACAGGGGAAATGGATACTCCTGGGAGGAGGGACAAAGGTGGGATTCAGTTATGTGTCCTTTTCCTTTTTTCAACTTTCTATCTAATAGACTTTCACCACAGTTTCTGGACTTGCTGAGATCTTTAAAAACCAAAGTTTTAGGCAGATGGTAGTGGTGCACACCTTTAATCTTAATACTTTGAAGGCAAAGGCGGTCATATTTCTGTGAGTTAAGGCTAACCTGGTCTACGTAGTGAGTTCCAGGCCAGTCAGGGCTTCATAGTGAGACCCTGTCTCAAAGCAATTAGACAGACAAGACAAACCAGACAGTAATTTTATAAACCAAGCTTGGTGGCTCATACCTATAATCCACTTACTTGGGAAGTAAAAGGATTACCAAGGCCAACTTGGGTTACATATCAAGTACCAGACCAGCCAGGGTTACCTAGTGAAACCCTGTCTCAAACAAGCAAATACCAATAATCAGGACTGGTGAGATATCTCAGCAAGTAAAGGCACTTAACTGCCAAGGCTGACAACCTGAATTCTGTCCCTGGGACCCACAGCTGTGTTCTGACCTCTATGGTTACTCACACTCAAGTAAACATAACCCACATGTAGGCACACACATTTGCATAATTCAAAATAATAAAAATAGGTATTTTTAACCTTTATTTACTTTTTATCCAGGGTCTCATTGTGTAACTCTGACAGCCCTAGAATTCATTATGTAGACCACATGGACCTTGAACTCAGAACTAAAAGAGATAGATCTGCCTGTCTCTGCTTCCCAAGTGTAGGAATTAAAAAGCATGTGCTACTACACCTAGCTTTAGGTCTTTTTTTTTTTTTCTTTAAAGGAAGTTGTACCTATGCCAGGCTAGAATGTAGGATTCCATATGTTCAGTTGTGGGGCAGAGACTATAAGATGGCTGCCCAATGGCCAGGCTTGACCACAGATAGATTTGTTAGGCCTGGGACTTGGTAAATAATCCATGTCTGCCTCAGTCTACTGAGTGCTGAGATTGTAGGCCACCATGCTTGTCTCAGTTTTTTATTTATAAATTAAGAGGCTCATCTGGGCTGGGTGGGGGAAGGAGGATACACACCTTTAATCCCAGGACCTGGGGACGGACGGGAGGGCAGAGGCAGTGGATCTCTGAGTTGAAGGCTAGCTTAGTCTATAGAGTTCCAGGACAGCTGGAACTACACAAAGAAAAATCAAAGTAAATAGGCTTACAGTTCTAGTCACTGGTCAACAGGTTACACTTCTTGCCAGTTCAGTCCCAAGATAGCACAGGATTTCACATGGCAAGAGACATGGAACACACATGTGACTCTAATCTTTCCCTATTTTTATTTATTTAGTTTTTTTATGTTTTTTTTTGTTTTTTTTTTTGTTTTTGTTTTTTGAGACAGGGTTTCTCTGTGGCTTTGGAGGCTGTCCTGGAACTCCCTTGGTAGTCCAGGCTGGTCTCAAACTCACAGAGATCCGCCTGCCTCTGCCTCCTGAGTGCTGGGATTAAAGGCGTGCGCCACCAACGCCCGGCTTTTTTTTTTTTTTTTTTTTTTTGAGACAGGGTTTTACTATAAAGCTCTGCCTTTCCCCATTTATTAAAGTATGTAAAGTGTATATTGGTACAAAATAATGAGTCTCATGATGTTTTCATACATGTATGTAATGCACTTGAATCATATGCACTACTATAGTCTTCTTTCTATCCGTTTCATTCACAGTATTTCAAATAATTCTAATGGATTGTCAGCATTTGAAAAATAAGAATCGGGGCCGGGCGTTGGTGGCGCACACCTTTAATCCCAGCACTTGGGAGGCAGAGGCAGGTGGATCTCTGTGAGTTCGAGGCCAGCCTGGTCTACAAGAGCTAGTTCCAGGACAGCCTCCAAAGCCACACAGAAACCCTGTCTTGAAAAACCAAAAAAAAAAAAAAAGAATCGAGACTGGTGCAGTAACATTCTTGTAATCTCAGCATTTGGGAGGCTGGGGCAGGAGGACTGCTTTGAGTTCAAGGCCAGTCTGGGTTATATAGTGAGAACTGGGCCAGCCTGAGCTCCATACATAGCAAGATTGTGTCTTTAACACAACAAACAGAAAACACAATACAAAAAATTAGAGCATACACTTTCTCTTGAAAATTCCAGAGTTCTGGCAAATTTGAACCCAAATTCCTGCCCCTCAGGGGGTCAGTTAGTTTAAATAGCTGTTGCTATTTTGGGGGGGGAGTTGAGACAGGGTTTCTCTGTCTGTAGAGGCTGTCTTGGAACTAGCTCTTGTAGACCAGGCTGGTCTTGAACTTACAGAGATCTTCCTGCTTCTGCCTCCTCACCGCCCAGCTCAGCTGTTGCTACTTTTAAATGTAGTAAGTATGTGCTCTCACTTTCTTCCCACTATATATCTAGACTTTGTTGCTTTTCCCGTTTATATTTGCTTTTTTGTTTGTTTAGATTCTTCTTCTGAGATAGGGTTTCACTTTGTATTCCTGACTGGCTTAGAATTCACTATATAGACCAGGCTCACCTGAATGTCACAGAGATCTGCCTGCCTCTGTCTTCTTAGTGCTGGGATTAAAGGTGCTTGTTTCTATTCTTGGCTATGTGTTACTCTCTCCCCTCCCCCCCAAGCTCTGGCTGTCCTGGAACTCACTTTTTAGACCAGGCTGGCCTTGAACTCAGAGACCTGCCTGCCTCTGTGTCCCAAGTACTGGGGTTAAAGGTATGGGCCACCAGTGCCTGGCTTATGTATTACTTTTTAAAGAAAAAAAATATTTAACTTTATCTTATATGCATTGGTATGAATGTGTCAGATCCCTTGAAACCAGAGTTACAGACACTTTTAAACTGCCACATGGGTGCTGAGATTTGAACCTAGATCCTCTGGAAGAGTAGTTAGTGCTCTTAACTGCTGAGCCATCTCTCCAGCCCCCTTATGTATTATTTTATTTACTGTTTTAAAGATTTGTTTGCCTTTGAGTGCCACATCTATGCAGAGCCCACAGAGACAGTGGTACAGGCATTTGTAAGCTGCTCACCATGGGATGGCAGCAAGCCCTACTGTCCTATCTCTCTAGCCCTCACGTTTGTATTGTTTGTTGACCTCTGAAGATTTGACCCCAGAACATGTTTCTTCTTCAGCCACTGCCTTCCATCTGCATCTCACTGCATTTTCATGTTACAGTTGGGGAAATCTAAGCAATTGGTAGTGGTATTTCACGCTGTCTTACTTATTATCCTGGTATGGTTCTCGGTGGGAGGTAGTTTGGCTCAAAGGTATCATTTGGCAGTATCTGGAGACATCTTGGGGATACAATTATTGGGAAACAGTGCTTCTGTTATTGGTGAGGTAGGGGTGATGTTGAACATCCTGCCATACTGGATATAATCTTACTGGCCCAAAATGTCAGTAGTGCTGCAGACAGGAAACTATCCTAAAGGTCTATCATGGAAATATGGTCAAAAGAAGGGAAGACTGGAGGGTTTGAGTTGTAGCATTGCAGTCTGAGCACCTGATCTCCAGACTCAGTCTGGTTAGCTGGATGGGGCTGGGCGATCTTGGAAGCATAAGGAGTGTGGGTCTGTGGTAAAATTTGTTTACTAATTAGAAGCAGGCAAGTAGTCAAGGGATTTGGCTTCTGCTTGGTAGACTGTGTTCTTTGGCAGGACTGAGAGCATGAGGCAAGCTAGGTGCCTGGGGCCAGCCTCTAAGGATATATTCACTCTGGGACTCCTGTGCCTGATTTCCTGAGAGGGAGTAGGGAGCAGTCCTTTTGTGCCAGAAGCACTTGATGAAGTTTGCTTCATCCTACTGGCCTGATGTCTCTGACAAGTGTGTTGTGGCTCACTTAACGGCTTTCACTGAGCAAGAAGATATGTGAATAAAAGTAGTAGGAAACAGGCTCCCTTCCTCTCCAGATGTTAGTCTTCTTGTCAGAGTCAGCTTTCCTGACCAGGTGCTTTCAGCTGGCCTTTGAATGAGCCCTGCAGGGCCTTCCTGAGGCATGCCTTCACTCATCCTGTTAATACAGTCATCGACTCTCCACTGCAGGCGGTGCTTATCTCTGTATAGAAAGGACAGTACCTGCGGGAAGGCTGCAGAAGAGGGGAGGGAGGGAGGAGGACAAGACTGAGATTAGTGCCTGGCAGTTGGGTTGAGGGTGTGAAGCATATTCAGGGGGTCCAGCTAGGCTTTTGTGTCTCTCCTGCAGTGTCTCTTGTCTCTTTCTCTCAATTTCTGTGCTTTTTTTTTTTTTTTTTTTGGGGGGGGTTTCGAGACAGGGTTTCTCTGTGGCTTTGGAGGCTGTCCTGGAACTCACTTGGTAGTCCAGGCTGGTCTCGAACTCACAGAGATCCGCCTGCCTCTGCCTCCCGAGTGCTGGGATTAAAGGCGTGCGCCACCAACGCCCGGCTATGCCTTCTTTCTTCTAATTTTGTACTCTTGTTTCCTTCCTCTGCTGTGGTTTCTGTTCTGCTATAGGTTAAGGGCATCTATGGTCTTTGACTTGGTGTAGTTCTAGACTCTCAGAGAACTTTATTGCTTTTGGACTCACTCTTTTGGTATTCTTGGAGGGATAATTTATAAACACAGTTTAGATCCGTTGTTTGGCACCTCTGATAGGGGAAAGAGAGCAAGTCTTAAGGAGATGACAAGTACCTCAAAGTGTGCTTATTGGTGCCTGTGGTTTACTGGTGGCTGTTAACTATGTTAGCCAAAGAGAGAACTTTGATCAGCAGTTGATGTCCATGAAGGTTTTTAGTCAGCACACATTCCTTTGGGGTATCCCTCTCCCACCAACCTAGTTAACCGTTTTGTGCCAACTCCATATAATTGCTTCATTATGTGTCCACCTTAAATGACTGACTGTTGAGTACCTGTACAATATGGCAGCATTTTCCCCCTCTTGACACAGGGTTTCTCTGTGTAGCCCTGGCTGTCCCTGGAACTCACTCGGTAGTCCAGGCTGGCCTTGAACTCAGATATCCACCTGCTTCTGACTTCTGAGTCTGAGTACAGAGATTAAAATCATGAGCTATCACACCCAGCTATTTTTTAAAAATGATTTTTTAATTTTATGTGTATAAGTGTTTACTAGCAAGGAAGAGGATATCAGTTCTCTTAGAACTAAGCTGGTTGTGGGTCTAGGAAATTGAGCCCAGGTCCTCCAGAAGAGCAGTTAGTACTCTTTTTTTTTTTTTTTTTTTTTTTTGGTTTTTCGAGACAGGGTTTCTCTGTGTAGTTTTTTGGAGGCTGTCCTGGCACTCGCTCTATAGACCAGGCTGGCCTCGAACTCACAGAGATCTGCCTGCCTCTGCCTCCCGAGTGCTGGGATTAAAGGCGTGCGCCACCAACGCCCGGCGCAGTTAGTACTCTTAACTGCTGAACCAACTCTTCTTCCCTATTTGGTAGCGTATTAAGTGAAGCTCTTAAAACATGGAGGCTATTCTGTCACATATGGTCATCCTTCCTTCCTTCCTTCCTTCCTTCCTTCCTTCCTTCCTTCCTTCCTTCCTTCCCTTCCCTTCCCTTCCTTCCCTTCCTTCCTTTCGAAGGTTTCTCCGTGTAACATTCCTGGACATCCTGGAATTGTTTTGTAGACCAGGCTGGCCTCGAATTCACATATCCACCTGCCTCTGCCTCCTGAGTACTGGGATTAAAGGCATGAGCCCTGCTTTATATGGTCATTTTCACAGCTGGCTCTGGACACTGTTCTTTTGAGTAGAGAATTGCCCCAGGAAACTGGTTGTTACTCTGCCTCCAATCAGGGTTCATTAGTTCCCCTCTTTGCCAGATTATGAGCTTTAAACACACTATAAACTGCCCTCTGAGAGTGTGCAGTCTTTCAGAAACAAAACTGAAATACCATACGGAGAGACCTCCTGGAATCAAATGTTCCCAGGTCTCTGGTACTTGATACTAAACTATTGTGAAGTGGAAATGTGAACGTGAGAGGAACTTGGGCAGAACTGCATAATATATTTGGGGAAGATTTTCAGAGGGGGTAAGGGCTGAGCTAGACCTTGGAAGTAGATGTTAGTGATGGCGGTGGCAAGAAGAGGGGAAAAACCTTTTGTGTGTGTTCCTGGCATAAGTAAGGGGCAGCCCACCTAAAGGAATAAGTAGGTGGGAGTATGTGCAAGTAGTTGAGAGAATGGGTTGTAAGAGTTTATAAAAGAAAGCGTTTAATTGGGAGTTTGTTTACAGTTTCAGAGGAATAGTACATTGTCATCATGGTGTTGGAATGGTAGTTGAGAACTACATCCTAACTCACTGGCATGAACTTATGAAAATTCAAAACCCATCCCCAGTGACATACTTCCTCTAACAAGGTCTCTCCTCTCAATCCTTCTACTACTCAAAAAGTTCTACTCCCTAATGGACTAAGCATTCAAATATATGAGCCTGTGAGTGCTGTTTGCATTTGAAGTACTACAAGGTATATATTTAAGATTTTTTGTCTTGTTTTTGTAAGCTTGAGACAATACTTAAAAGTGTTACTGTGTTCCTTCTTGCTGTAGAAGCCCTTGGATAAAAACTCTCATGTTCTTCCTTAGATCAAAGCTATCCTTATTTTTCAGGAATAGAGTTCTCTATGTGTTAATCCTCAATCAGCTAGCAGTTCTCAGCCATCAGTAATCTACAAGGTTTAGATGTTACTGAGGTATGTGAGCATAGAGTTTAGAGGGTAGCTGGGATGACGTGAACACAAGAAGCTCCCAGAAAGGCTCATTCTCCACTGGATCCACTGATAATTAGCAGGTTTGCATTGCAATGGGCGTAGGGAGATCATTTGGACTTGGGAATGAAAACTTAGGAATGATAGCCTCTCTCAACCTTAGTTTCCTCATATGTAATTGCCAGAGATGTGCTTGGGGTGGTAGTGGGCATTGTTTCAGGTCCCAAAGATGATGTGTGGGTTTGGCGAGGGGTTTGGGGGAGAGGGACAGAAGAGATGTACAAGGTCTGAGGGTGAATCAGGATGCCTGCCAGCAGCTTTTTTTTTTTTTTTTTTTTTTTTTTTTTGGTTTTTACCAGACAGGGTTTCTCTGTATTGTTTTGGAGGCTGTTGGTCCAGCCCAGTCTTGAACTCAACAGAGATCCGCCTGCCTCCGCCTCCCGAGTGCTGGGATTAAAGGCATGCGCCGCCGCCACCACCACCCGGCCCTGCCAGCAGTTTTTAATTGAAAAAGATCACACCTTTTGTTATGTATAGTTGCACATAGGATTAAACAAGAGATAAGGGGCACGTGAGCTGGGGTGTGGTGGATTGAAATCAAAAGTTAAGAAATCTAGTATTGACCTTGACAATAGGCACCAGTTAATGGAAGGGCCGTAAGTTCCTCTTGCTAGAGTTAAAAATGCGGGGATTTTCTCTTAAGTCCCCTAGGGAATGGAGACCCTTATCCAAATGTCTGACCTTGGGAAAAGGACTTCTGGGGAGCAGACACTATATAATTTCTTAGTTTTACTATATGAGCCTGTTCCCCTCATAATGCCCCCAAAAGGGAAGGTCCTGATGTCTTACTCTTTTTCCATTATACTTTACCATTCTGATTCCTCTGTGTTTATTAACTGACCTTTTGCCCTTACTAGCTTCAGGCTCTTGATCTGAATTGTGTCTAGTAAATCTCTAAACTTTCCTGTTTGGTGTAATTAGGAGTGTACATTGGAATTCCTGGTTCCAAGGTGGCAGGGATTTTTTTCCAAAGGATTATTTTGTTTAGAGAGGATACTATTGTACATATTTTTTTTTGTTTTTGTTTTTGTTTTTGTTTTTGTTTTTTTCCACACAGGGTTTCTCTGTTTTGTTTTGGAGGCTGTCCTGGAACTTGCTCTGTAGACCAGCCTGGCTTCTAACTCACAAAGATCCGCCTGCCTCTGCCTCCAAGTGCACCACCACTGGCAGGCCCCCCCCCCCCGTTTTTAAAAATTTTTATTTATTTATTACATATACAGTGTTCTGCCTACATACCAGAAGAGGGCACCAGATTGAATTGTAGATGGTTGTGAGCCACCATGTGGTTGCTGGGAATTGAACTCAGGACCTTTGGAAGAGCAGTCGGTGCTCTTAACCTCTGAGCTATCTCTCCAGCCCCATAGTACACATTTTTATCCTTTACCAAAGCCCACACAAAATTTCTCAAAGGTAAAGGCATTAATATTGAGAATCATATTGAGAATCATTTAGAATGAATGCTAAAAGGCGCTGGAGAAGTGTGGTCTGCAATATTGAAATGCTGAAACTTGGTCAAGCAGCAATGGCCACCATGCAGTTTACACCATATAAGATGGGGGCTGGTGTTGGTGGCATCTGCCTTTAATCCCAGCACTCGGGAGGCAGAGGCAGGTGGATCTCTGAGTTCGAGGCCAGCCTGGTTTACAAGTGTGAGTTCCAGGACAGCCTCCAAAGCCACACAGAAACCCTGTCTCGGAAAAACAAACAAACAAACAAACAAAAAAAAAAGATGGGGAACAAACATCTATATTTGGAGATTTGTCAGAATTGATAGTGAGAATGCCTCTGAAATTGTCAGTATATAACAGGCATACAGGTATAAAACATTAGGTGATTGATCATCAATATTCAGATTTACATTGTTAATTGTGTGTGTGTGTGTGTGTGTGTAAAAGTGTAATCTGGGTGGGAAAGAGTGGGTGAAGTGAGGTCAACCATTCTTGGTGTTGGGAAATGTTTCCAGAAATGGTTCTGGCAGTTTAGAGCATATATGTGTTCATGCATGCCTAGTGCCTTAGATACACTGTAGGGCATTCATAGGTGCTAAGCTGAAGCTAGCCTGTGTGCTGCTTCTCCTGTTTACCTGTTCTAGTTCTCACTGACCCCATTGTTCCTCTAATTTAGGCAGGAGGGGGTGTAAAAAGACTTTCTATAGAGAGGTTGGGGTCTGTCTGCTCAGCTCAAGCCTGCCAGTGATACTGTGGTTTTCCTTTTAGGTCTGCTGACATTTGTGAACTGTGCCTATGTCAAGTGGGGCACACGAGTACAAGACACATTCACATATGCCAAGGTCGTGGCCCTCATTGCCATCATTGTCATGGGATTTGTTAAACTGTGCCAGGGTAAGAGGGGCTGAGGTGGGAAGAAGGGTAAATGTCTCCAGGAGCCTCTTTGGCTCCCTGAGGAGGATATGGGGACTTAGCTAACATCTCAGCACATTTTGAATATATTCTAGAGTGGTGTCAGTGAATGTCAGAGATGGAGATTAATCTCTTCTTGGGCTTTGTCAGCTAGGCTAACTTGGCCAACTGGACATGTCAAATGTCAGGTTCTCAGGACTTCTTTGAAAACAGCATTGCAAGAAGTTAGCAAAAGTCCTAGGAGTTGTTGAAACTTGGAGTATAATTGAGTTACTCATAACTTATTTAGGGGGATAGATTATTGGCTCTTGGTGTTGTCTATAATTATCAAGTAGTGAGTGGGAAAACCTGGAGGGGGTAGTCGGGAAAGGGTATGTGGTCATTTTGCAGTATTTTATTGTTTATGTGGACTTATATTAAGCATGCTGTTTAGGAATCTTTCAAAGCCAGCTTTTGACAAAATGCCAGAATGTTATAGAATGGGCATTGTCTTACCTATGTTGGCCTTTCTTTTCTCTTATGTTTTTTTGAGACAGGGTTTCTCTGTAACAGCCTTGGCTGTTCTGGAACTTGCTCTATAGACTAAGCTGGCCTTGAGCTCAGATCCACTTGTCTCTGCCCCGTGTTGGGATTAAAGGTGTACACCACCATGCCTGGCTCCTTTTCTTTCTCTTTTAAAATTTTTTCCCCCCTGTGGATATAACCAGGACCTTGTGAATACTATGTTAACACTCTACCACTCAACTACATATCTAGTCCTCGTATTTATTTCTTATTTATAAGACATTAAGATAATGTCTTGAAATATATTTCGAGTTGGCCTATAGTTTATCACATAGCCCAGTGGCTTTCGATATTTGATTTCTCTTTCTGCAGCTTTCCAAGTGTTGGGATTACAGGCATGTACTAACTACCACATATTAGCTCTTGAGAACTTCATTCTGGGGTCATAGTCAACTGAGGTTAATGGGCTTCCCAAGATGTCCTGAAAGGTCCTTATCAAAGGATATCTTTCATACTTAACAGCCAATTCTCTATTTTAACATTTCCAAACATGGCTGTATTTGCAATCACTTGAGTTGCTGAGCCCTTCGTCCCAGGCCTATTGATATAAAAGTTCTTGTGTGTACATGGTCCTGAGGACCAGAGACCCAAAGTCTACAGGCATGCTAGACAAGTGCTTCTTCCAACCCAAAGCTATGCTGTTATGAAGTGTCCTAGGTAATTGTCCGGCAGCTAGCCCAGGAAGTTTGTGCATTATTGCTGAGTAACTACAGGCAGGAATCTAACTAGATGTCCTTGAGATCTCAGGAGTATCTTAGAGTAAAATTGGCTATTGAGTAATTTTTCCTTGCAGGAAATGGAAATTCCTTAGGGCCTTGGAAGAAGTGTTTCTCAGAGTGCAGATAGGAATGCTTTTGTTTTCTTGAGATTAACCTGAGGGAGTAGGTGGGGTGGTGAAATGCAGGGAGTTTCTGATTGTTCTTTTGGTATTAAATGATGTTTTTTTGTTTTTTTTCTTCCCCTGCCTTTGTTTTTGTTTTTTCCCTTCTTGTTTCACCTTTTTATTTCTCTTTCTGAATCCTTTATCTTCATATTACTCCCCTGTCTTCCTTTTACCTGGTCTCCCACCCACTTTTGCCCTACAGGACACACTGAGCACTTTCAGGATGCCTTTGAGGGTTCCTCGTGGGATATGGGAAACCTTTCTCTTGCCCTCTACTCTGCCCTCTTCTCTTACTCAGGTTGGGACACCCTTAATTTTGTAACAGAAGAAATCAAAAACCCAGAAAGGTAAAGGCGAGATCACATTCTCCATCTTGGCTGGAACTCCTGCTGATGGTGGGCACAATTGCCCTTTTCTCGTACCTCCTCCCTCTGCCTCTCATCCCCTTTCTTTTCCTGCTCCCCTTCTCCAGTTAGGAGGAATTGGGGGCTAGGATGGGAGTGATCGTGGGAAACCCTTGGCTCTCACCCTTATATTCCATTGGGTAGCAGCAAGTCTAGCTGGGGCTGGGTTGGCAGGACTTTGCCATGTGGTAGTGAGACTGTGGCCTAAGCTGCCTAAGTTGTTTCTAGCCTACCAGGTCCCCAGCCTAGTGTCTAGTTTCTGAAGGATATTGCTCCTGCATTTATCCTGAGATCACAGATGCAAGAATGTTGCAATGTCACATGTGACTCATTGAACCTAATCTGGTAGGATAACTAATCATGTGCCTCCTTTTCCTCAGTGGAAAGTCCCCAGGAGATGGGAAGTGTACCTACCTCAGGGCATGTGGGGGAGAGGAGCCCATCTGAAAGACCTTGGCAGCAGTGAACTGTTAAAAGTTAGGAAATTCCAGTGGGTGCTGGATGCGTTGGTTCTAGGTAGTTCTATTTCACTTGTCCTGACAGAAATTTGCCCTTGGCCATTGGGATTTCTATGCCAATTGTGACACTCATCTACATCCTGACAAACGTGGCCTATTACACAGTGCTGAACATTCAAGATGTCCTGGAGAGTGATGCGGTGGCTGTGGTGAGTCTCTTGGGGGGGGGGTGGTGGTCCTCATTTGCTCCTGTTCCTCATCTCATGAGGATCACATAGTGCTTAGTTCCTGCATGGGCCAGTCCTTTTCTGCAGCTATTCTACTTCTACAGTGTGAGGAATTGGTCTGAATAGGGCAGAGGGTGGACAGTTTAGTAGTGACTGCCTTTGTTCAGAGATCATAGGCATAAGGAGAGGATTATAAAATTCTGTCCTGTATTGAGTGTCCCTTCTTTGCTCTGCCTCTAGACATTTGCTGACCAGACATTTGGCATGTTCAGCTGGACCATCCCCATTGCCGTTGCTCTGTCCTGCTTTGGGGGCCTAAACGCGTCCATCTTTGCTTCATCAAGGTACTTGGCTTCTCTGTTAATAGGCTGTTCTTAGCACCTGCGTGGCAGCTCACAACCACATGTAACTCTACTTACAAGAGCACCTGTGCAAGAGTAGCACATGCTCTTAACTGGATACAACCCCTATGATGGTTTTTAAAAGAAGGGCTGTGCAATTCTAGCTGAAGTAGGAGGATCTCAAGTTTGAATCTAACCAGACCTACATAGGAGGCCTTATCTTTTAAAAAAGGCTGTACTGTGGCAGAATAGGTGTATCCCCAGTGGGATGGATTGGAATGTCATTAGGTGGTGGAAACACACAGTGTCTGTAGGATGTTGGTGAGATATCCATTTCAGAAGTGGGAATGTTGGTAGGTGATACTGAGTTTCATTGCTGAGGGCCTGGAATGGTTAATGTTTAAGGGATAATGGTGGGTGAGCATTCCTAGGTAGTGATGAGGTGCTAATAGTTGAAGACATTTGTGGGTAGTATGAGTAATGAACTGGGTATATATGAAGCCTGAGAGGCTATCCCTGATTTTTTTCTGGTACTCTGACTGAGCCTAGTTTGAGGAGTGTGGCTGAGTAAAAGGCTTGCTGCTGACACATTTCATACTTTACAGGTTGTTTTTCGTGGGCTCTCGTGAGGGTCACCTCCCGAACCTTCTGTCCATGATCCATATTGAGCGCTTTACACCTGTGCCTGCTTTATTGTTCAATGTAAGTTCTGCCGGGAGAACGGGGGCTTGGGCAGGTTTATGCAGGACTTTGTTCCAAGATTTGAAGCCCAGTTCATTTTCTGTAGTGTTTGGGATGGAACCCAGAGCCCCATATATGAGACAGGCATTCTACCACTGTCCTATACTCCTAGCCCACTATTTATTCATTTTCCCCTGCCTCAGACAAGGCCTTCTTGCATAGCCTAAGCTGTTGTTGAACTTTAGATAAGTGGTTCTCAACCTATGGGTTGAGACCCTTTCACAGAAGTTGCCGAAGACCATCTGCATATTAGATATTTACACTGTGATTCATAACAGCAGCAAAGTTACAGTTGTAAAGTAGCAATGAAAGTAGTATGGTTGAGGGTCACCACAACATGAAGAACTATATGTGTTAAAGGGCAATGGCATTAGTGAGGTTGAGAACCACTGCTTAGATCTTGCCTCAGCCTCTCTTGTGTTGCTTCAAAAGGGGCTTTTTGTTTGTTTGTTATTTTATTTTCAATCCTGTGATATATTGGGTGAGGAAATGACTATTTTTCAAGTTTAAGTCTGACCTTGTCTTAGAAAGCTAATCCCAGCCTGGTAGCGGTGGCACATTCCTTTAATCCCAGCATCTGGGAGTCAGAGGCAGGTAGATCTCTGTGAGCTCAAGGTCAGCCTGGTCTACAAAGCAAGTTCCAGGACAGCCAAGACTGTTGCACGAAGAAATCCTGTCTTGAAATAAACAAAGAAAGAAAGAAAGAAAAGAAAGAAACCTAGTTCCTGCACTCTTACCCACTAGGGTTCTTTTATTTTTTTTTTTGGTCTTTTGAAACAGGGTTTCTCTGTATTGCTTTGGAGGCTGTCCTGGAACTCACTCTGTAGACCAGGCTGGCCTTGATCTCACACAGATCCTCCTGCCTCTGCCTCCCGAGTACTGGGATTAAAGGTGTGTGCCATCACCGCCCGGCCGTAGTTATCCCTTTCTAAGAGTGGGTATGGATCCATTTTTCTGATCTTCCTTTCAAAAGCTCCAGGTCACTATGATGGTTCTGGAGGCATGTCTTAATTTGTTTGCCAGGTAGTTTTGATCCAGGCCTAAAGAACTCTTAAGCTGGGCAGTGGTGGGGCACGCCTTTATTCCCAGCACTTGGGAGACAGAGGCAGGCAGATCTCAGTGAGTTCGAGGTCAGCATGATCTACAAAGTGAGTTCCAGGACTGTTAACACAGAAAAGCCCTGTCTTGAAAAACAAACAACTCTAGGTTAACAGTGTAATTCCTACTGTGGTTGGTGTGTTGAGAGCCTCACTGTCTGCCATCAGAAAGGAAGAATGTACTTTGTTAACCAAAGTGCTTGCAACAAGGTGGGTGCTGAGTATAGGTAGAAGTGGAGATGTTGCCTTGAAAGTTAATGGGATAATGGATCTATCTGATGCCAAGGGAGGGTCACTGAAAACCAGAGCTAATCTGGTAAAGCTATTTCAGATCTGACGGACTGCTAGATGATGGAGTCTCCTGGTATGACTGGAAGTAATGATACTCACTTCTCTTCTCTACCACCTACCCCACAGTGCACCATGGCACTTATCTACCTCGTCGTGAAAGATGTTTTCCTGCTTATCAACTACTTCAGCTTCAGCTACTGGTTTTTTGTGGGCTTGTCTGTTGTTGGACAGCTCTACCTTCGCTGGAAAGAGCCAGACTGGCCTCGACCTCTCAAGGTCAGCACCTCCCTTATTAAAAATGAAGAAAGATAGGCCTCATACTGTCCAGATTAGCTTGGAACTGTGTAGCCAAGAAGGCCTCAAGATGCACAGCTCACGCATACTAGCAGGAGTGGGTTCTCTTCTCTAACTGAATTTATTTTTTTTTTTTTTGTAAATTCATTTATCTACTTAATGTACATTGGGGTTTTACTTGCATGTATGTCTATATGAAAGTGTCAGATCCTCTGGAACTGGAGTTAAAGAGAACTGTAAACTGCCATGTGGGTGCTGGGAATTGAACCCAGGTACTTTGGAAAAGCAGCTAAACCATGTATCTCTCCAGCCCCCTTTTTTGACAGATTTTTTTTTAAAGATTTATTTAAGGTCCTAATCTTAAAGTGTCTTTTGATCAGGTTGTATTCTTTCATCCCACCCTACTAAATCTCACTTCTATTTCAGCTGAGCCTCTTTTTTCCCATCGTGTACTGCATATGCTCCTTGTTTTTGGTGGCTGTACCCCTCTTCAGTGACACCATCAATTCTCTCATTGGCATTGGGATTGCCCTCTCTGGGGTCCCTGTCTACTTCATGGGTGTTTACCTGCCAGAGTCCCGGAGGCCACTCTTTATTAGGAATGTTCTGGGTGAGTGTTGGTTTGACTACCGTTCACTGGCTATATGCTTAGGCTCAAGTTCATGCAGAGGCTACCAGCTCTTCCATCTTACTTAATGGCAAGGGAATAAAACCTGGCTGCTCATCATACTTTTAGTTTTCTATTCTAGGTTTAAAGCACTATCTACTTTTTAGTGTTTGAATTGTTATTTTTTGTTTTTTGTTTTATAACGCAGGCTGGTCTTGAACTATGTAGCTGAGGATGACCCTTAACTCCCTATCTTCCTGCCCCTACCTCATAAGTGCTAGGAATATAGGTATACACCCCAACACCTGGGAAGAGAAGTCTGGGTGTGGAATAGAGACTTGGTTGTAAAGGGTAAAGACGGGCTTGGTGTGCGAAGGGACAGGTGGGAAGGAGTCATAGATTAACGTTTAGACTTCTAGTACTCAGATTGGAACTGTAGCAAAGTATGTTTACTAAATCCTGTGCTTCTTATTTTCATTTAGCTACTGTCACCAGATTAACCCAGAAGCTTTGTTTTTGCGTCTTGACTGAACTTGATGTAGCTGAAGAGAAAAATGTTGAGAGGAAAGAAAACTGACTAGAAGCCAGAGATGACATTCCCTGAAGCCCAGAGGCTGTGACCACAGCCATCAAAGACCAGTTACCTAACCCTTCTGAATGAGAGGAGCCTCTTGGCCCACATTCTGTAAGGGGGCTCAGGGCCAATGCTCTCTCATTGGTAAGCTATGGAAGATACTGATCAGACCAGCCTGAAGATGAGACTTCAGTGGGAGGGGAGGTTGGGGCAAGGAGTTGATTTCGTTTTTTCTTCTTCTGGTGGATAGGTACAGACTGGCCTGTTGGTACATTGTAGTTGGCAAAGAGGGAAGAATGTTAGGTTGACAGCTCCATAGCTCACAGAAAAACCAGGGGTCTTTACAGTGGGGCTCCTTCATGGGAATTTAACTCTGACCAAGTCCTGCTACTTGATTTTAGAAGCCTGAAATGCTGCCATGTTTTTCTGTATTCTTCCTTGGGGAAAACATTGTGTGTCCCCCCCCCCCCCCTTTTCTATTTGCTGGGTTACATCAACAGCAAGGCTTTATTTAACTGACATGGAATCAATGTGCACCCTCATTCCTAAATTCCACAAGAGGAACATCACTCCCTGCCCTGGAACTTCATGTTCAAGCAAAGAATAAGCTTGATGAGAGGAAGACCGACACTTCAGGGTCTGGGCATGAAAGTCCTCCCGTCGAGGACTTCCCAGTTGTGGGTCCGGAATGTTGGGAAATCCTTGGGATCTCATTGTGTTCAGTGTGTCTACCTCCTTGAGGAGGTGCTGCCTGTCTGACTTTGCTTTGATCATTTTAGCACTATGGTCATAATCCTTAGGCAAGGAGGTGAGCTTCTGGCTCATAAAGAAATTGTCTTGGCCACTAGATTGCCTCCTTCCTAGCTGAAGCCATGGTGCTGTGGAGCCCTTGAAACAAGGGCTGAAAGAAAACCTCACTACTCCAGCTGAGTGGGAGTATCTCTGCTACTACCTGGGCAAGCCACTACAGTCACCAAATTCCAACTCCTCTATTTCTTTATTTATTGATATTTAATCCAGAACACCAATTGTAGTAAATCATTAGTGTCCACAGGATGGAATAAATGGTATTTGAAAAAAGTACCTTAGTTGGTGTGGTAGTACATACCTGTAATCTGAGCATTTGGCATGGTGATAGAGGAGGAGTCTGAATTTGAGGCTAGCTTAGGCCATATAGTAAGTTCTAGGCAGTCACTCTGGGCTAGCAGGATCCTGTCTTAAAAAAAAAAGGGGGGAGTCTAAGAACTCAAAACAGAATCTCCTGGCCCTTAGATGTCTCAATGTGATAGTCAAATTCTGACAATGTTTCACATAATCTGTTGAGCATTGTCTATGAAGGTGAAGATAAAGGATTTTTCTGAGCTGGGCTCTGTGATTCTAGCACTCAATAAGCTAAAGCAGGGGATTTGCTGAAAGTTCAAAGCTAGCCTGGGCTACATGGTGAGTACCATATTATATGAGCTTATATAGTAAGAACCTGCCAAGAACAAAGACAAAGGACACTTTTTTTTTTTTTTTTTGGTTTTACAAGACAGGGTTTCTCTGTATTGTTTTGGAGGCTGTCTGTCCACCCTGGCCTCGAACTCACAGAGATCCATCTGCCTCTGCCTCCCGAGTGCTGGGATTAAAGGCGTGCACCACCATCACCCGGTGACAAAGGATACTTTTAAACATGTACCTGTTACACTTTAATATAGAGACAAGTCACATGTACACAAGTCATCTGGCTCAACTCCAGCAAGGACAGATGAGCAACTGCATGAGCCCGAAGTCTGGTAATGCTATTTTGAAGGATAATCCTTTGTTTTATTAAGACCTTTGGCTTTTGTTCTAGTTGACAGAAAGTAAATCTCTGGATTTCTGTTATTAAGTGTAAGAGGCCTGGAATGTTTTAATTCAGGTAGATTGCCTGATCCATCTGTTGTCAGTGGACTTGGAGAACATCATAGATTCAAGTCATCAAATAGCTTGTGTGAAGTTTGCTGTGTATACTCATGCAAGCCTACTCTGGTGCTGGAAAGTAGTCAACTTTCTGAAAACCACTCTGAACCATTTTGGGTTATGAGATAGTACACCTTGTTTGCAAGAGCTGTTGAGATTGAAATCCCAGAAAGTACTTGACTTGGTACTTGTACATCTGTTATTTCCTCCCTGTGAAGATCAATGAAGACTGTAGGAGTAAACAGCTTCAACCTTAATCTGGCTCCTGGTAAAGGATGGAAACAGCTAATTCTGGTGATCGAGCTAGGCTGCCAATTGAAACCAAAACAACAGGCTTGGATCTTTGTGGGCAGTATATCTACACTGGATCATACAACTGTGTTAGGATGCCCTTAGACACTGTCATCTTGGACACAGAAGAACCTGCTGTCTTGGCATTCTCCATGGATATTTCATCTTTAAGTTTTGGAACTCATGACTCATATAACTATGAGACATTCTCAACTTGTGATCTTTTTTATTTACCAAACTGGCCCTGGTTGTAAAGGAATAACCTTGGATATATGCTTGCTCAATAAAGACTTAGGGGAGTGTGATCACAGTTGCCTTTTATTTGTGGGAATGCATCCCTGAGAGCTTGTGGCTGACATTCTTACTGCCATGGGTTGGGGATTTGTAAATTTCTGCCTGATAAGGTGCAAAGATTGACTTGCCCAAACCATACAAACATGATTCATGTCTGAGCCAAGCTGGCACCCATTCTAAGACTTTTTAAAGAGTGGCCCTAGTTTTAGTGGTCTTTGGCCCTTAACCAGCTAATCCCAGGAATTTGCTGCCCTCCAGTGGTTTCTGAGAGGAGGGACCTACTTCACATTCAAGGTGCTACTTGCCTAGTGAACCAAGTTATTATCACTTGACAGCATTTTTTCCTTCTGAGCTCAACACAGCTTCTCCCAGGAACACTTTCTATGGGAAAGAAGCCAGACTTCCTATAGTACTCAAGCTTCATGGTGGAATTCTTCCCACCATGTCTTTTGTCTCTTTGAATCCACCTCCTGATGTGCTAATTTCATTTACAGTGAGTGGTGCAGTTCGTTCCTTTTGTATGCGGTACAGTTTGAAGTTGTTGGCCCTTTAATGTCAGCAAAACTTAAATGAACACATACACAGCAATGAGCATGCTATAGAAAGAATGAGAGTTTATGAACTTGTAAACAGTGGGAAGATATCTGTGTAATTCACTTTCCAATAGGTCAGTTATCACAGTACAAGAGGACATTTGCTGAGTTGAATATTCTCAGTGTTATTTCCCTAGACCTATAGTATCACATGTAGCTAAGTTAAAATAAAATCTAGCCAATTTAATAGCTTGCACCTGTAATACTAGCACTTGGAAGACTTAAGATTATAAAAGAAAAAAAAAAAGCCAAAAAACCAGCAAGCACTAGGGATGCAAAGGCAGGCCATCTCTTCTGGTTCAAGACCAGCCTGGACTATACAGTGACTTCCAGGATAGCCAGGGCTGAGACTGTTACCTGCAAACAAAAATCCCTGATGTACAATTTAGATAGTGTTTACATTAGATCTTTATAATCTGAAGACAGATTATATGCAAATACTGTGTCATTTTATGTAAAGGACTTACATATATGGTGGATTTTGGCAGTCCTGGAACCAATTGGTCACAGTATACTGAGGGACAACTAACTTTTTTTTGTGAGTTCTATAAACAGTTAACTTAGCCCATAGTATATAAAGTTAATTATGAAATGCCTATCTTACTAACCTCTCCCTTTTCTGCGGAGAAAACCTAGAATAATCGGATTGAAAGGATTTAAAAGAACTGCTTGCAGCTGGGAAGTAGTGGTACATGCCTTTAATTCCAGCATTCTGGAGGCAAAAGCAGGTAGATGTCTGAGTTTGAGGCCAGCCTGGTCTACAGAGTGAGTTCCAGGACAGGTTACAAGCTACAGAGAAACCTTGTCTTGGAAAAAAACAAAATTGCTTGCTTTTGTGTAAAAAGTTTATTTTTATTAGAGTATTGATTGCATAATACTTACTGTTCTGTGGCACCACTGTCAAAAGATGAGAGCAGTCTTTATAACCATTATCAGAGTCCAAAGGTGATGGGGGTACTTCCTATAGTTCAGGCAGGGAGCCACTGTTGCCCTTGTAGAGATGACCTCCATCAAAGAAAACAGGCTTCATTGGAGGCAGGCACTCCAGTTTGGAAGGTAGATTATGCTGCGGATGAAATAGGAGCTTCCTCCATCTCCTTTGGACTTGGCATAGAAGACAATAATAAAACCTGGGCTGGAGGTTTTACGTCATTTTATTTCCAGACTGTAGGATCACTTGTTTTTGTGTTTTAATAGAATCTTATTCTTTTGACCAGGTTAGCCTAGAACTTTCTATATAATCTTGGCTAGTCTTGCATTTTCAGCCCTCCTTTTGCTCCCAGATTCTTGAATGCTGGAAATTACAGGCATGAGCTAGCATGCTTGGCTTCACTTATCACTTATAAGTAGAAGAGCCCTTAGTTAAGTCTTTACTGTGCTGGGATATAATTTTTCTTTCTACAGAGCCCTTAAGGGCTTGTGGAAGAATCTCAGTCTGAATCCAGATCATGGGGGTTATCATAGTCAAACTCCTTCAGTACATCCAAAGGGTACTTGCTCCACATCAATTGTCTGCTGCTTTCCTCCTCGCTGAAGCTGTTGTATTCATTAGAGTCTATAAGGAGATAAGGATTTTATTCATAATAAAATACTTGCTCAAGCCAATATATATAAATTAAATTTGTGTGAGAGGGCACATATGTGGTGGTCAAGTGACAATTTATGGAAGTTGGTTCCCCTTCCACAGCAAGGGGAACCAAACTTGCTGGCTGATATGCTAATACTCCCCTCCCCACCAAAGGGTTTCTCTCTAGCCCTGGCTGTCCTGGTAATCACTTTGTAGACCAGACTGGCCTTGAACTCACACCACCTGCCTGTCTCCCAAGTGCTGGAATTAAAGGCATGTGTTACCACACCAAGTTTTCTTATTTATTTTAATGTATTTCATTGTTTTTCCTGAATGTATGTATGTGCACCCCATGTAGGACCTAGTGCCCACAAAGGTCAGATAACAGAAGAATGGAATTGATGATTGTGAGCTGCCATATCAGTACTAGAAAAAGAACCCAGATCTTTTCAAGAGCAGCCAGTGAGTGCTCTTAGCCATCAAGCATCTCTACAACCCTGTTAATACTTTCTTGCTTGATGTGAGTAGGGAAAAGAATGGGCTGCTACACATTTTACCAAATGCTAAAGTTGATCCAATAATGTCTCATTTTTAGAGAGAAAAATGATATTAAAAGTAAAATAACTTCTTATACATAGGCAGTAACAACTAAGGATTAGAACCTAGGCCTGACTGATAGTATATCCCAATAGTTCCCCTGGAAAGAATTCAGCCAGCCATTTGCAACATTACCAATCAATTAATTATATCTTCACTTCAATCATGACTTCTACCAGTCCCTACCCATCTGGGTTGCTACCCACCTCTAGAATCTTCATCTCCATCACTGCTTTCTTCATCTGGGTACTCATTGCGCCAATTATTTTCACTGTTTTCATCATCTTCATCTTCATATGTATCTTCTGGTTGCTGATCATCATTCACCTGAACATCTCAACATAAACATGAGTTTAAGTCCAAAACCTCTCAAGTTATGCTCCTTAGAAGAAGCTACTGACATGAGGGGAGATTCAAGTAAAGGTGCAATGTTAAAAACGGCAGATTAGGAGTGCATGTAACTCTGCTTTACAAGAGACTGTAATCTTAACTCCATTCAAGAATCTAGCGGTAGATACCACATTCTAATGTTATTAGAGGGGAATGAGTGTAAAGAGAAGGTAGTGGCATCCATATTAAGATTTCTGAAGGACTGTCTGGTGGGAGAGGGGTTTTATGACTGGGTAATACCAAAGATCAGGATCAAAAAACTCAAAATAGGCCAAGGCGGTGGTGGCGCACGCCTTTAATCCCAGCACTCGGGAGGCAGAGGCAGGCGGATCTCTGTGAGTTCCAGGCCATCCTGGTCTACAGAGCGAGTTCCAGGACAGCCTCCAAAACAATACAGAGAAACCCTGTCTCGAAAAACAAAACAAAAAAAAAACCTCAAATAGGGCTGGAGAGATCACTCGGTCGTTAAGGGCTAGGCTCACAAAAAAATCTCAAAGTAAATGGTACAGGAAGGCAGGATTAGAGACCACATAGTAGTCTATGGTGGGTGCCTATGTGCAAAATTGATAATAGAGGCCCCCAAGGGCACCCACAGATATATGCAGATACACTCATACACAACTTTTTTGGTTTTCTCAAGCCAGGGTTTCTGTGTAGCTGTGGCTGTCCTGGAACTAGCACTGTAGACCAGGCTGGCCTTGAACTCACAGATATCCACCTGCCTCTGCCTCCCGAGTGCTAGGATTCTCAACACCACTGCCCAGCAAGTTGTTCTTTTGTTTGTTTGTTTTTTGTTTTGGTTCTTATGTTAATGTATGGTTTTGACAACTCTGGGAATTGAACCTAGGTCCTCTTAGAAAACATCAAGATTCAAAAACATCTGGAGATTCATTATGAACAAAACCTTCAGTGTAGGTAGTCCAATACATTTGCTGTATTAAACAAGGTTTTTTACAAAGGATTTAGAGTAGAATTTTCCTTCTAAGCAAAAAACAAGAACAATGTTTATTAAGAGTGGAATCTAGACGCTGGAGAGATGACCCAGTGGTTAAGAGCATAGGCTACTCTTCCAAAGGAAGCCAGTTCAATTCCCAGCACCAACATCTGTAACTACAGTGCCGGGTAATCTAACATCCTCATACAGACATACATGAAGACAAAACCCCAAAGTACACTAAATAAATAAACTTTAAAACAGGGGAAAAAAAAGAGTGGAATCCAGAAGGCAGGTGGATCTTTGTGAGTTCAAGGCCAGCCTGGTCTACAAAGTGAGTTCTAGGACAGCCAGAGCTGTTATACACAGCTATCTTGAAAAGTCAAAAAACAAAAAACCAAAACATCAAGAGTGTAGTTCATAGCCAGATGTGTTATATATTTGTAATCCCAATATTGGGTAAACGGAGGCAATTTAAACTGCCAAAGTTCAAGGCCTGCCTGGACTACAAAGTGATACTGTTTCAGAAAAATAAGGGGTTAGAGAGATGACTTAGTGGATAAAATACTTGCTGTACAAGTCAACCACCAGAGTTCAGATATCCAGAATCCATGTAAAGCTGGGTGGGTTGAGTAGCTTGCCCGAGACCCCAGAACATGGGAGGCAGAGATAGGAATCTCTGGGACAAACTGTCTTGTTAGTTTAGTTGGAATTGGAGAGCTCTAGTTTGTGTGAGAGACCCTGCTTCAAGGAAGACACTCAATATTAACTTTGGGCCTCCATGTGCTCCAACAAACAGGAACATGCATTCTACACACACACATAGTCGTGTGTCTCATCCTGTCCTGTCCCCTTCCGTTCCCCCATCTCCCACCCCCGCAAGTTTTTAAGGGGTGGTGGTGGTGAAGGAAGCAAGGAATGGTGGCACAAGTCTATAATCCTAGCATTGCGTTTTGGAGATAGAAGGATCAGAAAATTATTAAGTACACAACAAGTTTGAGACCAGCCTGGGCTACATGAGACCCTGTCTTAAAAAAAAATAGCAAGATGGTTTAGTGAAAGGTACTTGCCACCAAGCTTGATGTTCTAAATTTGATCCAAGGAGCCAACATGGTTGAAAGAAAGAACAAGTTGTCCTATGACTTCCACACATGTACAATGTCATACACACCAAATAAAATTAATTTTAAAATTAAGAACAAACAAAAGTAAAAATGAATAGTCTATGAAGTCAAAGTGCACTGATACATGTCCTCCTCTTGGACCCCCTTACCAGCTCCCACTCCTGGCTGTAGGGCTGCACAGACAGAATGTTCTCAATCCATCCTGGTGGGGCCATCTCCGTATAGTAAATGTCATATACATAGTCGTCATTGTGCTCTGATTCCTTCTGGTGCTCCACTTGTGGTCCATCTTCAGATATAGTCAGCCTCTCACGGATCAACTTTACAGAATTGCACATGATCACATCTGGATCAGATGTCTACAAAGAAAACAGCAATAAGACTCAAATAATGTTCTAAAGATTGAGTAAATGGCTGGGCGTTGATGGCACACAACTTTAATCCCAGCACTCAGGAGGCAGAGGCAGGTAGATCTCTCTGAGTTCGAGGCCAGCCTGGTCTACAGAGCTAGTTCCAGGACAGCTTCTAAAACAATACAGAGAAACTCTGTCTCAAAAAAAAAAAAAAAAAAAAAAAAAAAATTAAAAAAAAATTGAGTAAATGAAGGTCTGTTACTGTTTTCCATGCTGTGTTCAAGATGCTTTTTGTTTTGTTTTGAGATAGGGTTTTACTATGCAGCCCTAACTGGCAGAGAGCTCAACAGGAAGGCCTCTGCCTCCCAACAGTGCAGGTAGTATTCAAGATCATTATCCCCATACATGCCTAGTCTCTTTCTACCTGCTTCTACAGTCTTTTTGAATATTCTTTGCTATTATGTTCTTCCTTGAGGACTCATAGGCCCACATAGGTTTCCTGGTAAAGCCTACTAAAATCTGTCATCTGGCTAATTTTAACTGACCAATATCCTAAATTTAATGAAAACTAGGCCTGGCAGTGGTGGCACACACCTTTAGTCCCAGGACTGGAGACAGGTGGATTTCTGTGCATTCAAGGACAGCCTGGTCTACAAAGTTGAGTTCCAGGACAGCTAGGACGGTTATACAGAGAAACCCTGTCTTAAAAAAACAAATGAAAACGAGATTGATGACTACCTTATATGCCATCCTAGAGCCTTCATCCAGAAGCTGATGGAAACAGAAGCAGACACCCACAGCTAAACACTGAGCTGAACTCCTGGAATCCAGTTGCAGAGAGGGAGGAGTGATGAGCAAAGGGGTCAAGACCAGGCTAGAGAAACCCACAGAAACAGCTGACCTGAACAAGGGGGAGCTCATGGACCCCAGTCTGATAGCTGGGAAACTAGTATAGGACCGACCCAGACCCCAATAGTAGTGTCAATTAGGAGGCCTGGGCAATCTATGGGGCCTCTGGCAGTGGATCAGTATTTATCCCTAGTATACGAATGGACTTTGGGAGCCCGTTCCACATGCAGCAATACTCTTTGTCCAGACACACAGGGGAGGGTCTAGTCCCTGCTCTCAATGATAAGACAGACTTTGAAGATCCCCCCATGGAAGGCCTCACTCTCCCTGGGGAGCTGAAAGGAGATGGGATAGTTGTTGGGGCCAGGGGAGGAGGGGAGGGAGAGGAAACGGATTGACATGTAAAACAAGCTTGTTTCTAATTTAAATTTAAAAAAGGGAAAAAAACAAAAAACACGAAACAAACAAAAAAAAAATCTAAAAAACAAAAACCTGGGCTGAAGAGGTGGCTCAGAGGTTAAGAGCACTGGCTGTTCTTGCAAAGGTCCTGAGTTCAATTCCCAGCAGACACATGGTGGCTCACAACCATCTATAATGAGTTCTGGCATGTAGGCATACATGCAGGCAGAACACTGCATACATAATAAACAAGTCTTAAAAAACAAACAAACAAAAATCCACCACCACCACCAACAAAAAAACCAGAGTCACCTATAATCTCTCTGCAAGAAGGAAGAGCTCTTAGTAAATACTAATGAAACAAATATGATTATATACTCAAATGTGTTTAAGAAAAACATTCAACATTAAATTTCTATTCCATGTTTTTTCCTTTTTTAATTGATTTGGTAAGAATTTAATTATGGAGTAGGTATTGATTGTAAACATGTTTTTAGGTATGTGATTCTAAAATATTTTTTCCTAACCTGAAGTTTAGGTTTTCATTATATTTTTAATTTATATCAAACAGTAAATTTATTTTAAGTATGCTACTTTGTTAGTTTATATATTAGATATTTATCTAACTTACTAATGATTTTTTTCTCCTTTGTTTACTTGTTCTCTGCTTTTGGATAAAGGCTTGAGTCATTTTTAACACATTCATGCATGAATTGTATAACTATTACATAAATCTTTGAAACACTGGGGAAAAAAGAAAAGAAAAGAAGAAGAAGAAGAAGAAGAAGAAGAAGAAGAAGAAGAAGAAGAAGAAGAAGAAGAAGAAGAAGAAAGAAGAAGAGAAGAAGAAGAAGAAGGAAGAGCTTGAAAACACAAAAGTTCCAGAAAAGAACTAGCCCAGGTTAAGATGTTCTCCAGAGACTATAGGGTCCTGGGAGCATGGGTCAATGTGAAGCTGCAGGGAAATGCTTCAGATGGCTTGCCCCTCTAAACAAGTTCATCACAGAAAGCTACATAGCTAAAACCAGCTACCATATATAAGTAGGAATGTTTTATCACCAAAGCAAACAGCGGGAGAGTGATGATTGTCATATACAAACCAAGGTGAATGTTCCTTTAGTCTACAGTCATAAAATTAGTGGTACAAGTTTTGTGCAGGCTTTTCCTCCTCCTCAAAGATTTTTTTCCTTTTGTTTTAAGTGTATGAGTGTCCCGTGTCCGTCCGTGTCGGTCCCCCCCCCCCCCCCGCAACTTTTATTACTGGCCTGAACTATGGAGCCCAGACTGGTGTCAAACACTTGGAAATCTTGCTTCAGTTTCTTAAATGATAGCATTATAGGCTTATAGGCATTGAGCCATTATATTTTGTAGAAAATTTTCTTTATTACAATTGTGTGTGTCCTTGTTAGCTTTAACTGTCAACCTCACATAGTCTTGAGTCACCAGAAAAGAGAATCTCAATTGAGGTATTATATAGATTGGCCAGTGGCCTTGTCTGTGAGTGATTACCTTGTTAATTATAGAAGGGCACAGATTATGCTGTACCATTTCCTGAGCTTGGGCTACAAAAGAAAGCTAAGCATAAGCCAGAGAGAGCAAGATACCAGGAAACATTTTCCAGCATGGCATAGTGGTGCACATCCCTTCAGTCCCAACACTCAAATGGCCAAGGCACACAGATCTCTAAGTTTAAGACCAGCCTGGTCTACATAGGTCTATATACTGAGTTCTAGGACATCCAAAACTACATAGTGAGACCTTGCCTCAAAAGAAAAAAACAAACAAACAATCCCCCCCAAAAAAACAACAACAAAAGAAGCATTTTACATGGTTTTTGCTTCAAGTTCCTAAACCCTTTACTACCCTTTTACTTTTGTTTAAAAACGCATCACAGCACCAGAAAGGAAACAAGACAGTATTACCTGGGTGTACATGCCATGATGCACAAGCGGATCCCAGGGATTGAACTCAGGTTGTACCTTTACCTGCTGAGCATTTTCACCAGCCCTCAGAAAAATTATTTTTATTGTCTACATATATGCCCTTATATTTTCAGTTTCACATTCTGTTGTTAAACATATACCTCCCATGTTGCAACGCTTTAGAGTTACCAATCTTTTTTTGGTTTTTCAAGACAGGCTTTCTCTGTATTGTTTTGGAGGCTGTACTGGAACTCACTCTGTAGGCCAAGCTGGCCTGGAACTCACAGAGATCCTCCTGCTGCCTCTGCCTCCCGAGTGCTGGGATTAAAGGCATGCGCCACCAACGCCCGGCTTAGGGTTATCAATCGTAATACTCCAAATCATTGTGTATGCCTATTCCTTTAAAATATGGATACTACTTGTACACTGTGCTTAGATTCCAGAAGGCATTGAATCCACTTGAACTGAAGTAACGGGCAGTTTTAAGGTGCCTTATGTAGGTGCTGGGAACCAAAAGTAGGTCCGCATGATGAAACAGCAAGTAAACTGCTGAGCCATCTCTATAGCCCCATGTATATCTTTAAGCAGTATTGAAATGAGTTATGTCATTTCTGCATTTGGAAAATGGTGGCAATCCTGGGGAAAACAAGTCCTTACCTAATTTCACTGTCATTCCCCTTAAAAAGTAGAGATTACCCTGAAAAGCACCAACACTTAACACTATCTGAGGGCTGCATGTCAATCAACCAATAGAAGGAAAGGATCTTGTTCTGATCTACTGACTACAGGTACAAATTATCTTTCCAGGAAAAACAAGCACACAAATGGTTACCTGCAATACTAGATGGTTTCTTTAGAGAAACACAAAGCTTAGTCACCTGTACTCTATGGAATGCAGACGATATACAGCTTTACCATGTCTTCTTTCACAGTTGTTCTGCCTCTAAGTCAGTGTTTTTCCTCCACTTGTAGGTTGTGACCTCTTTGGGGGTGGCATATCAGATATCCTGTATATCAGCTATTTATATTACAACTCACAACTAACAAAATTACAGTTATGAACTTTTTTTTTCTTTTCCTCAGAGACAGGGTTTCCCTGTGTAACCCTGGTTGTCCTGGAACTAGCTCTATGGCTCAGGCTGGCCTTTGCCTCCTGAGCACTGGGATTAAAGGTATGTGCCACCACTGCCTGGTGCAATGAAATAATTTTATAGTTTGGGGGGTCACCACAACATGAGGAACTGTATTAGGAAGGTTGAGAATCACTGATCTAATGTGGCAATGTCTCCACAAATTAATGTCCTAAGGAAACCTACTACCTTGATTAATCAATGAATGCTAATAAAAGCTTTTTTGGAAAAGCAAAAGCAAAATGATGATTAAAGCACCTAATTCATAGTATTTGTGAAGACTAAACAAATTAAAGGAAAATACAGTTAGGGATATAGTTTTCTGGAAGAACACTTGCCCCAAAAGCAGTGCCAGCAAAGCCCAAACTCACTAGGTATATAGCACAATAACTTATGAAATCAACAGTATTTTTTGTTAAGGCCACAGCTGTGTACTTTTGTTGAATTATTTACCTAGGTTAAATCTTGAAAGCATGATTATTAGGAAAACATAAACAAACTTCAAAAAACTTTAAAGACCAGGCTGGCCTCAAACTCACTGAGATCTGGCCAAACTTTTTTTTTTTTTGGTTTTTCGAGACAGGGTTTCTCTGTATTGTCTTGGAAGCTGTCCTGAAACTTCTTTGTAGACCAGGCTGGCCTCGAACTCACAGAGATCCACCCGTCTCTGCCTCCCGAGTGCTGGGATTAAAGGCGTGCGCCACCAACGCCCGGCTGAGATCTGGCCGAACTTTAATCTACATACTCCTCTTGCCATAGTACTCTTCTACAATAGAGATCCACAGCAATGAGCAGGCAGACCATGGACCAAACCTCTGAAGTTGTGAGCTTAAAACAAAACAAAACAAAACACCCTTCATTTGTCAGAGCAACAAGTCTAACATAATCTCTAAATAATAATGTAAATATTTTAAATAGGCCCATTCCTACTTTGCAAAAGGTGTACAACAATTTTGTTTATTTTGAGACAGGGCCTGTGGAGCCCTGGCTGTCCATGAACACAAAGAGATCTTCACGTCTTGGCTGGCCTGGAACTCATAGAGATCGACCTGTCACTGCCACACAAAACCGCTAGGATCAAAGGTGTGCGCCACCGCAGACAAAGAGACTTAAGTGGGGTTGGGGGAAAGGAGCTAAAAAACCAATCGTGAGGGGTGCCGGTGGCACACCCCCTCCCACCCCAGCTCTGAGGCAGCTGAAGCCGGAACACTGCTGTGTGTCAGAGGCCTGCTTGGGGTACACAGCCAGTGCTCTGTCAACGAGGGCTACACAGCAAAACTCTAGCTCGAAACAAACACACACAAAACCCCACACAGGTAAAAGGAGGCTACCGTTTAGAGTGGATTATCCATCCTTACGCTTAGAGCGTGTGGTTGTCTCTGCCTTTGGGAGCCGTGCAGGGGGGTGGGGGGGCATTCAGTACTCACTTTGCAGCTGCCTGTGGCAGCCGCCTCCGGGTCTCCCTCCTCGTGCACCAGGTCCAACAACTGGAAGCCCGCGTCCCCGACGTCTTCCGACACACACCGTGGCTCCAAACTGCCGCCGATCCCTGAGGCTCGGTGGCTGGAGACTACCTTGTAGCGGCCCTCTTTACGGACCTCGCGAACAGAGGCTCGAAGATCGCGGCGGATACGCAGCTGGCTGCTCCGGGACGGGCGCAGGGCGGCCCGCACGAGCTGCTGGATTGGCTCCTCCTGAGGGGCGACAGAAAAAGGACGACCGCCTCAGCAACTGTTTGCACACGGGTCGCGTTCAAAGCTCCCTTCCACACAGAGTCCACCTCCACCTCGTACCTGGGAGCGCACCGTAGCAACCAACTGGAAGACATTACTCTCGGACGCTGTCTCCGGAGCCTCCGGCGTCCCCTGGGCAGACGACGCGACCTCGCCGCTCCGGAGGCGTTTACAGGCCAGCACGAGAGCCTCCGCGGGCTCCGCGCTACGCTTGCGCTTCACGCGCAACACCGCGGTCCTGCCGGCCTCCATAGCGACTGTCGAGGGGCACTGTGGGAAGGCGCGGGGTGCGCCGGGAGACCGCTTCCGCTTCGCGGAGGGCCGCGGCGCGTCGAACGTGACGCCTACGCGCTGGGGCCCCGCCCCCGGGTGGAGGGTGAGGCGGAGTGGCCGCGGCGTTGGCGGCGAGCGGAGCGTGTCCCGCAGCGGGTGAGCTGTTGGCGGTGCTCGGGAGGTAGGGCCGTGGCTGGCCCTAGGTGCAGCCCGCTTTCGGAACTCATTTCTAGGGCTCTGGCGGAGGGCCCTGGCGTGGGTGTGTCCGGGTCCCCGGAGCACTCGTGGACTTTTCCCGAGTCCACGTGGAGTTGTTAAAGCACCCTGGCGGACAGGTCTGCCCAGCCAGCCCGCCGCAGCCGTCCGCACGGGTGACTGTCCTTTCTCAGAACGTGGCTGAGCGCAGAGCAGGGCCCCGGGCACAAGACTGTCGCGTCGGCCACACACGCCCGGACCGTCCGGCCATTCTCTTACTCGGCACGGCTCTCTTAGAGTTCTCAGTAGTTGGAAACCATTCAGTTCACAACATTTGCCCGCAGTGGTGCAATAAATGCGTGCGCCCTACGTAGACATGCTTTTTACTAAAACTGGAGTGGCGCTCAGGGCGTTCCAAACACCACAGATGAGTGTGTTTGATATGCCGAGGAATCACCACTTTGGCGCTCTTGCTCGCTCTGCATCTCACTGGCCTTCATCTGAGGGCTGGACCCGGATGAACTTGTGAGGCACTTTGACACTTTGATCCTGTTGGGATTTCTGAAGAGCGCCAAAATTTCCAGACAGCATGATATATTTGTTATGTTTTTTTTTTTCCTTATTTGTCTTTGTCTCCCCCGACCCCCTCAAGACAGGGTCTCATTCTAGTTCTGACAAGCGTGGAACTCATAAAGATCCTCCTGCCTTTCCCTTTCTAATTCTGGAATTGAAGACATGCACACCATCACGTGTATTTTGCTCTTGTTTTTGTGGTAAGGTCTCACGGCGCTGCCCAGGTTGACATCAAACTTCAGATCCTTTACCTCAGCCTCCTATGTGCTGAGTCTGTAGACTTTTATTATAGTTTTTTTTTTTTCTTTTTTTAAGGCAAGGTTTCTCTGCGTAGTTTTGGTGCCTGTCCTGGAACTCGATCGGTATACCAGACTGGCCTCGAACTCACAGAGGTCGGCCTGCCCTCTGCCTTGCAAGTGCTGGGATTATAGGAGTGTGCCACCACCACCTGGCTTATAGCTTTTGTTTTGTTTGTTTTTTGAGACAGGGTTTCTCTGTGGCTTTGGAGGCTGTCCTGGAACTAGCTTTTGTAGACCAGGCTGGTCTCGAACTCACAGAGATCCGCCTGCCTCTGCCTCCCAAGTGCTGGTACTAAAGGCGTGTGCCACCACCACACGGTTGGCTTATAGTTCTTATACTGTATATAAAATGAGATGACTCTTGCTGGAAATATTAAAATACTGATTAATATTTTTTTGAGAGGATCTATCACTATTTAGTTTTTTTTTTTTTTTTTTTTTTTTGGTTTTACGAGACAGGGTTTCTCAGTATTGTTTTGGAGGCTGTCAGTCCAGCCCAGCCTGGAACTCACAGAGATCCGCCTGCCTCTGCCTCCCGAGTGCTGGGATTAAAGGCGTGCACCACCACCACCACCACCACCACCACCACCACCACCACCACCACCACCACCACCACCACCACCAGGCCACTATTTAGTTCTTGCTGACCTAAAACTTCCCATGTAGACCATGCTGGCCTTGAACTTAACAGAGATCCTCCTAACTCTCTTTGCCAGAGATCAGATTGAAGACCTGTGCCATTAATAAAAATTTTAAGTGATTTTGACATTTTTGTCTGTTTTTTCCCCCCTTTTTGTTTTCTTATCCCTTGCCTTCATTATAATTGACTAGGTTTCTGATAGCCAGATCTGTTCCTAAGAAGTAAATTGGCAAGACTGCATTTCTGTGCAAACATTGAGGAGCCAGTTGGCGACATGAAGGTCTTCTGCAGTCGTGCCAATCCAACCACGGGATCCCTGGAATGGTTGGAGGAAGATGAACACTATGATTACCATCAGGAAATTGCCAGGTAACAAGGTTTGCTTCTCAGCTGGCTGCAGGTGGATAGGGCTCAGTGACATTAGTTTTTTTGGTTTTTACGAGACAGGGTTTCTCTGTATTGTTTTGGAGGCTGTCGGTCCAGCCCAGCCTGGAACTCACAGAGATCCGCCTGCCTCTGCCTCCCGAGTGCTGGGATTAAAGGCGTGGGCCACCACCGCCCGGCGACATTAGTTTTGAAAATAGATTTTGGACTTTGTTTTCTGAGCAGTTGAGATGTTAACTAGGAGAATAAAACACTTGATGAAAGCAGTGTGGGAAGTAGGTTGGAGAGAGAGAAGAGTGGTGGTTTCTGTAATCCTAAAATAGAAGCAGTGGAGGTGAGGGAAAAGCAGTTTGGAGGAGCTTGAGTTTAGAAAATCACTGTATGCAGTTAAGGGAGACAAAGTTCTAGAAGGACCAAGACGTCTTCTGGTTAGAGTGACTAGGTAGATGGAGATGCCATTCCCTGAGGGGGCACTGGAAGAATGGGCAGTGTTCTAGAGGGAAAGGTGTTGCGCATTCGGTGCTAAGGTTTGGACATTCAGATGATGATGCTAGCATTAGAAAGAAGCATGTGTCTTGAGACACAGAATTCGTAGAACTTGGGAGAGTTGAAATTGAGAGATGTTGTAGCATCTCAACAAAGGAGGAGTCTGGAAAGTAAAATTAGGATTAGCTGAGGAGGCAGAAGCAGAACCAGAAGGAAAGTTGGGATGGGAAGAAAAGGGACCTTTAGGAAGGAGGAAGTAACTGTTAGGGTCAAGCTGCTGAGGTGTCCTGAGTGCGGATGACCATTAGCAACAGCAGGGAGCAGGCGGTGGTAAGGGTGAGTTATGTCAGTGGAGTGGTGAGCAGTGAGTGGCTGATACATCCAGGAAGCTAGTGAGTGGACATATCTTTCAAAAAGTAGGTAGGGGCCGGGTGGTGGTGGCAGCACACACCTTTAATCCCAGCACTCAGGAGGCAGATGCGGGCGGATCTTTGTGAGTTCAAGGCCAGCCTAGTCTACAAGAACTAGTTCCAGGACAGCCAGAGCTACACAGAGAAACCCTGTCTCGAAAAGCCAAAAAAAGAAAAAAGAAAAAAAGAGGAGAGATGGCTCAGCAGTTAAGAGGGTGTAGCTAGCTCTGGAAGATCTGATGCCCCCTTCTGGACTCTGTGGGTACTTGCACTCACAGGTACATGTATCCTCACACAGATAGACTTATGCATATATAATTAAAAATAAAATAGTTATGTTGTATTTTATTTATTTCCTAGGATTTATTTATGTATTTTATGTATATGAGTATTCTATTTCCATGTATTCTTGCACCACAGAAGATAGCATCAGACAGAAGAGGGCTTTGGATCCCATTATAGATGATTTTGAGTCACCATGTGGTTGCTGGGAATTGAACTTAGGACCTCTGGAAGAGTAGTCAGTGCTCTAAACTGCTGAGCCATCTCTCCAGTCCTGAGATTTTATTTAAGACAGGCTTACTATGTATCATTGGTATGTAGACCAGGCTGGACTTGAACTCATAGAGATCTGGCTCTGCTTCCCAAGTGCTAAGGTTAAAGGTAAGTTCATTCCATCTGGCTCTTCTTTTTATTTTATATTTATGCTTGAATATACATCTGTGCACCACATATGTACAGTGCCCACATAGGTCAGAAGAGGGTATTGGATTCCCAGGTACTAGAGTTGTGAGCCACCATGTGGTACTGGGAATCAAACCCAGGTCCTTTGCAAGAGCAGCAGGTGCTCTTAACTACTGAATCATCTCTCTAGCCCCAGAATTCACATTAAAAACAAGCAAACAAAAAGCGGGCATGGTGACACCTGCTTGTAATCTTAGCACCAGGTAAGTGGAGACAGGAGGATCCCTGGGGCTTGCTACCAGCACGTCTATTCTAATTGGTGAACTAGGTCAGTGGGAGACCCTGACTCAAAGAAGGTGCATAGTATAAATGAGGATGACTGGAGAGTCCTCCAGTTTTCACATGCTTGTATAAACTTGTACTTGTGCACACATATACACGTGAATGTACACACAGCACACAAAATGAATAGGGAGCATATTTCCTTTCTTTCTTTTTTTCTTTTTTCTTTTTTTTTTCTTTTTTTTTTTCTTTTTTTTTTTTTTTGGTGTTTTTCAAGACAGGGTTTCTCAGTATTGTTTTAGAGGCTGTCCTGGAACTTGCTCTGTAGACCAGGCTGGTGTCGAACTCTGCCTCCCGAGTGCTGGGATTAAAGGCGTGTGCCACCAACACCCGTCTAGGGAGCATATTTTCAACAGTACATGAATTTATCTTAACTTGAAATCCTAATTAGCACCCAATAAATATTTTTCTTTATTCTCGGCTTGGTTGGTTTTATTCACAGTCAGAAATAGCAAAGCATTGAAAATAACGTAAATGTCTATCAACATTGTTAGGCAAACCCATGGTGTATCTATATAGCAAAATAGAATGCAACTGGGAAAACAGAAATGAAGTTCTTTATTTTGATTTCATCCTCCGCTGGTAGAGTGATTTTCACAATATGGTACATGAAGACAGCAAGTGTAGACTGCTTTGTGTCAGAAATAAAGTGTTGCTTATTTTTTGTAAAAAGAAGGGCTGGAAGAGTAAATGGAAATGGGTGAACGTTCCCTGTAGACAGTGCAGATGGGACTGAGTAGGTGTTTGTTGTGGTTGCTTTCAATGCTTACTTGCCACAATTAGACACCTGAAGAATTTTCCCTATTGTCTTGGGTGAGGTGGGAAGACCACCCTGATTTTGGGTGGCTCCTCTCTGGTGGCACCCAGATGAGGAAAGGGCATTGCAGAAGGAAGTCCCCCCCCCCCCTTGACTTGCTTGGCCTCCCCTCTTGCCAATGAGTCAGTTTGCTCTGCTGCTGTTGCTGCTTCCTTCTTTGACAGCAGAACCAGA